TTGCTTCTTTGGGATAGGTGAAACTCTCCGACTTTGGCTTCTGTGCTCAAATCAGTAAGGACGTCCCCAAAAGGAAGTCCTTAGTGGGGACACCGTACTGGATGGCTCCGGAAGTTATTTCAAGGTCTCCATACACCACAGAGGTAACTATCATTCCTGGACTGCAAAAGAGGCAGCAAATGAGCAGGACATATCCATTTAAACCTGGTTTACGATGCTTTCTGAAACCAATTCCTTGACATACATAGGTGTATCTGACCTAGCATGCCTCAGTGTTTCCTGCTCTCTGCTACGTTACTTGTGAAGTGTGTGGCCCACCACGATGGGAACCGTGCTTGATGGTAGGATGCAAGAATCTGGATTGTGTTGCTTTTGCGTTAATTCCAGCAGCACTTACATCTCCACCCCAGTGGAAGGTTAGCATGAATATAAAACTGCTCTCACAGCTTTGGAAGTCTAAAAGTAGCAAAGTCAAGCCCACAAAACCAGAATAAAACATGGACGTAGGCAACTTTCCTATTTAACAAAATATGATTACTTATTATTATTCTTCTTTAACAGAACTTGGAAGTTTTGGATGAGTGTGTATTTGTCTGTAAAAGCAAAGAGGAAAGGTAATGACAGTCCTAAGAGGAACATTGTGAAGCAATGCTTTTGTGCTATAATTTGGAGGTTGGATGAGTCCTTTAAGATATCACAGGGGGGAACCAGTTGTTTTTGGACTCCAACTCCCATCAGCTCCAGCCAGTCTACCCAGTAGTCAAGTATGATGGGTGTTGGAGTCCAACAACATCTGGGCAGCCACAGTTTTCCCACTCCTGATTCAGCCTTTCAGGTTCTTTGCTGATATAAGGCCCCCAGTACCTCTTTGCTAGTCTGCTTCACAGGTAAGAAGTTCTGTAAACGCCAGAGGACCATGGGGTATCTTTCTACAGGCCATCTGTACTGATGCAATATTTTGCTTCTGCAGGTAGACATCTGGTCTTTGGGAATCATGGTGATCGAGATGGTGGATGGAGAACCCCCTTATTTCAGCGATTCTCCAGTCCAAGCAATGAAGAGGCTCCGTGACAGCCCTCCTCCCAAAATAAAGAATTCTCATAAGGTCAGTCAGTTTGTAAGAAATGTCACAGCCAGGTACTTCATAGAATCTGGTTGTACGCGGAAAGGCATGAAAAAACCAGTACAGGTGGTTGCTTATGATAATCTCACATACGTCTTATGTAGCAGATCTGCACAGTGAAACAAAGGCACATGTTATTGGCATGCAAGGTAATATACGTGGATTTGCCCTATTTCCCCCCTGTGTGGAAGTTCTTTCCATGTTGAAGGATCCTGTGATATTTGAAACTGCCACGGAGAACATTTAAGTGCAGCTCCTGCTCCCTGAAAATTGGGCCATAGAACCCAAGTACAATTGAGCTGTTGCTTTAAGATGGTTGCATCCTTTGTGTCTATGTATCCCACCTTTTATACTGACTACAGTGGTACCTCGGGTTACATACGCTTCAGGTTACATACGCTTCAGGTTACAGACTCCGCTAACCCAGAAATAGTACCTCGGGTTAAGAATGAGAACAGAATGAGAACAGAAATCGTGCAGCGGCGGTGCAGCGGCAGCGGGAGGCCCCATTAGCTAAAGTGGTCCTTCATGTTAAGAACAGTTTCAGGTTAAGAACAGACCTCCGGAGCGAATTAAGTGTGTAACCAGAGGTACCACTGTACTTGAGATTTGTTCAGACTCAGAATCAAGAAGTTAGTATTGATTTCAGCTTTTGGTTCTATAGGCTGGTGCTGGCATCTAGTGGCTGGTACAAGAAATGCCTCTCACAATAAAAGGTTTGTGAACACCGCTGCATCTTAAATCAAACGCTGGACCTGACCAAGGCTGCTAGTTAGTAAAATGCTTCCTGAGCCCATTGGTTCCACTTTTTGCTTAGATCATGTTATCAATCGCATTTTAGTCAAGTAGCACGATCCCCTGAAACAACATAGGGGAGGACATTTTCCACACAAGCATCATTTGCAGAGTCTGTATATTTAAATATGTCCTTAAGTACTACTACTGGTTGTTATTTATTAACTGTGTATACTGCCCTTCATCCACCCTCCTGCCCTGAAATGGCTTATCTGAATTGTTCTGTTTTCACAGACGTCTCCAGTTTTAAGAGACTTCTTGGAACGGATGTTAACACGAGACCCGTTAGAGCGAGCAACAGCCCAGGAACTCCTTGATCACCCCTTTTTGCTTCAGACGGGACTTCCAGAGTGCCTGGTGCCCCTTATTCAGCGGTATAGGAAACGGACCTCCACCTGCTGACCCCAAACTTAAGAAGCACCTAGTATATCACAGCATTCGAATGCAGTCTTTCTCTCGGAGTTACCAGATCAAGGGCAGCCTGGCCCCGCAAACATGGCTTGGAACTTGTCAGCATCCTTTCCGAGAATGCGAGAGGGAATTTTCACCATCTTGAGCTGCTTTTTAATGTTTACCTTTTTCTCTTTTTCATTGCTGAAGACAATCAAAAGCTGGACTCCTACAAGTCTTAATATATATATTGTGAAGCTTCTGGGATAGTTCCTATTTCAGGAGTATGTTTGGTGTTTGTAAGAAGATTCTCACCACTTGATTTGTACATACCTGCAGACCTCCAGAGACTTCATCTACTGACTGCACTGGAACAACATTCCTCTCGCAGGATGGTATTTGTTCTTTAAAACACATTTGAAGGTAGACATCCTTACTTTAACCTGAAAACAGGCTTCTTCAACTTGGTGCCCTTTAGATGATTTGGATTGTGATGGCTGGGGCTGATGAGAGATGGAGTCCAAATCATCTGGATGGCATAAGCTTGGCAATGGGCTTCCCTAAAACAATCATCTCATCTCATGTATGGGCTACTTGATCCTGTTACAAAAGACTCGTCTACCTTGTTTCCTTTCAAATCATTTTTCCAGGACTTTCTTTCTTTCTACAGTTGGGACTAATATGGGGCCTATGGCTTTTCAAACCTTAAGAATGGTCTGTCATTTCACAATCTTACACCAGCTGGCAAGCAGCGCTTCATGGCAGACATTTCTCCAGAGATTCTGGAACCTGATGCTTGAAACTCCACGGCATGTAAACGTAGTGCCTTCTCCAGCGAAGACTGGAAGTAGAAGGCACCACAAGGGTTATCCAGATAAGAACTTCAGTTTGCTCATATCAAGGCCCCTCTAAGTACACTGGACTTGACCAAGGATACAGCCTTGAGGCAGCTGCTGGGTGGTGTTTTTCACCAGCTCTGAATTCTGTAGCAAGGTCAATAAAACATTGAAGCTCTCCCATTCCACTGAACAATGTTTGTTTTGCCAGTGAGAAAGTTAAGACTCTACCTACCTCCTATGTTGTTGAGAATAGGGGAAATGCATGGAGCAGAGTTTAAATGTGTGCTCATGGTTCTATAATCTCCTGGATGTAGGTGGACCACTTCTAATATTCTTATCTAAGGCTGATGCAGAAATTTTATATGGTTAAGTCTTATCTGTGTAATGTCCAGATCAGTTGGCACCGATTACTTTAGGTTGTACTATGTGTGTTACTGTGTGGAGCATAGTTGTAACATAACTGGAATTCAGTTTTGTGATACATTTGGGCAGGAGTTATGGAAAGTGGGGAGGGGTAGGTTGGAGGGGGGGTCAGGTGTCACTTCTACTGCCTCAGAATCTGCCCTTACACAATCCACCAAGTGGTAAACATATGAAAACGTGTAAAAACAGCAACAACAAAAAACTTGAAATATTGTGGGGAGAGCTTGTTGTAAAATATGTCTGTATGTTCCAGGAATCCTGTGCAAAAAACTCCCAGGTTTCTTTCTTCCTTCTTTTTAACTTAATTATCTGAAACAAATATTTCTCCTTTCCGTGAGTTGTTTGCATTTGTTGTTTTAAATTAAAACACAATTTTGATTATTCATAAACCCATTGCAATGTTGAAATGTTTTTGAAAAACGCATTTATCCTTATTCCAAAGTGCTCCACAGAGTTCCTAACTCAAGAGTTTAAAACTTGCCACAGAAAGTTTCAGGCCTATAAACTTGACAGACAAATCAGTGGCCCAAATGAATTCCATGTAGTTTCAGTCAAGAATGGCCAACAAGGCAGTGAGGGGTGTGTGAAGTCCATTTGGCCAGTAGTGCTTTATTATGAAAGTGGATGGCAGCAAGGAGGCACAGGTGCAGCCCTGCCATTTGCAAGGACAGGGATCTACAAAAAAGGGGTGACTAGGGGTGGGGAAGACATTAAATTCACCTAGCTTTTAGAGCCAAATTTGCACTTTCTGAAACGGTATGAAGACCAGAACACAGCCATCCTTTGAAATTTGCGCCTATCCAAATTTTGCAATACAGTTCTCCAATTAAACAATCTGTACAAAAGTGCATAAAAATGAGGGTGCTGAAAAATAACGTAAATGCGTCTTAGGAGAAATTGCTTGCAGAAATGTGCACCTTAGTCAAAAGTGCAGACCAAAATATGTTTATTAGGAGAAATTTGCACTAAAATGCTGAAGGGAAAAAATCACAAATTGCTGCAGAAATGTGGATAACCTGAATTTAAGATTGGAAAAGTATGGAACAGAGAGAAGTAAAATGGACAGATCCTTCCATCCATACTTGTGACTGATGAAAACAAAAAGTAATCCCAAAATGCATATGGAGGTTACTCTGCCACTGAATTCCTAAAAGGGAGGGAGTGTCATTTCTGAGGACACATAATCTGATTGTATTATTTATTTTATTTATTAAATTTATATATGTCCCTTTATCTGAAGATCTCAGGGCAGTTCACAAGATAAATATACAGGATAAAAGCACAAAATAAATCGTTATAACCAAAACAAAACAATAACCCCCCTCTTCCTACAACACATTTAAAGGCTGTGGAATATTAATCCGCCCAAGTAGACAGGGGAAAATATTTACTCAGCAATGGATTCCTTAGAAAGAAAGAGCCATACAATTAGCAAGAAACTAGTTTTATTGCATTCTGTAGAAGGTCAGCTTGATAAGCTACATAACCCTTTACCAGAACAAACCAACATTTGAAAGAAGAAAATTCTGAGTCCATCCTGCTGTAATCACAATGTGCTTTTAAAAAAGAAACAAAAGGAACAAGTCACAGTGGGTATGGAACTGACATTGTGTTATTGCTACACGCTGCATTTTGCAGTCAGTGTCCCTTTTAAAAGCCTGGATCAAAGCTTTACAATGTGTTTCTGAATTGTGCAGTCAATGCTACTAAAATGCAACTCCTAGAATCCTGGCTCTAAGAAATTCATAGACGGGGATCAGCTGCAGACTCATCAGATGGACACCAATGCAGCTTCAACTCTATTTCTGAAGTGGAAAACCGTACTACTACAATTTACAAGGATGTTATGAAAGGAAAATGAAAGAAAATGATCACGCACTATTATCTAAACTTGCTAATAATTTTCCAAGTTTGTATGTGCTTTTCAAGTGCACTGCCCTCCCATCTTCAAAAACTTAACCACCATGTGTGTTTTTTTAAAGTTTTGACAATAAAAAATCAATCCCAGTTTAAATCTGACATCTCAAAAAAACTAACCAAAACCAAAACCAGGTAGCAAGTGATGTAGCAGACAGACCCCTGTCTGAGAGTCCAGGAGAGCTGCTGCCAGACAGTAAGGCTGCAATGCTAAACCATGTCTAACCAGAAATGAGTACTGTTGAATTCAGTGGGCCTGAAAAATCCAGGATTGGATTCCCCAATGTAATTTTCTTTTGTTAAAAGCTGTTCGAAGAAACAGAATTTGGATTGGGGTTGTAATACCAGGGAAGGTGGGTTAACCTTCCACAACAACAACAATAAATAAATATCTAAATACATTAACAACCACCTAATAAATAATATACTATTAACTAACAAAAAAATAAATATGTAAATAAAGCAGTAACACCAACAACGTGTTCCAATAACTCATCCAGTTGAAACTGGGATGCGGGTGGCAATGTGGTCTAAATCACTGAGCCTCTTTGGGCTTGCCGATTAGAAGGTTGGTGGTTCAAATCCCTGCAATGGGGTGAGCTCCTGTTGCTCTGTCTCTGCTTCTGCCAACTTCGCAGTTCAAAAGCACGCCAGTGCAAGTAGATAAATAGGTACCACTGCAGCAGGAAGGTAAACGGCATTTCCGTGCACTCTGACTTCCGTCACGGTGTCCTGTTGCGCCAGAAGCGGTTTAGTCATGCTGGTCGCATGACCAGAAAGCTGTCTGGTCAAAGCTGTGGACAAATGCCGGCTCCCTCGGCCTGAAAGTGAGATAAGCGCCGCAACCCCATAGTCGCCGTTAACTGGACTTAACTGCCCAGGGGTCCTTTACCTTCCATTTACCTTAGTCACAGAAGGGGGCTGGGGAGACAGGGACAATATGAGCCCTTATCATTTCCCCCCTCTGTGGCTGATCTGATCACACAACTCCCACTTCACACCTTGTTTGTCCTTCCGTTACTTTCAGAGTTCATGCAGTGTCACTAAATAAATAAAACTTGAACAAAAAATGCCACAAAAAGTGAAAGGCCACAAACATCCCAACGCACTCCACTGAAATCATTTCAGGCAAATGCGGCATCTAGTTACAAATAAATTTCTATCTTATTAAGGCTTGCTGGATTCAAAGACAATGTACACGAGTGCAATTCCATTTAGATAAAGAAATCCACACAGATATAAGTGGACACGAAAGCATCTCCTAAGAATCAGACATGGTGCAAAATCTTCTTCAGAAGCCCTTACAGAAACTGCCATGAAAATGTAGCAATCTGGACATCATATTGACACTTTTGTTCTTTACCAAAATGATCACTGATCCATTTCGCCCATTACAGAAAGAAGCATACTCAGAAAATGCAAAATTTTTATTTTGCTGTCATGCCCTGAACTGACCTTTCAGCACTTTTAACCAGGTTCACCATTAGTTTTACTTGACTGTTCTCTGTATACTATACAGCAATAGGTTACCAATATTTTTTTTCATAGCTGGAAGATATTAGGGTTTGACAAAATGGTACTTTGCCATCCATGGATTAGGCTCCTGAGATTTTCCACCCGCACATTTTGCAAGATTTGCCCCAAAACGGTACATAAATTCTTGAGATGGGCAAAGATAGCTCTGGCAACAACACTCCAGTCGGGCAACGGAAACTGATGAATGTTGTAGGTGACAATGACATTTTGTGCTTTTAGGTTGATTTTAAAGGAAGTACACTTCGACCCTCTTGCTGAAATCGACGAGACCCTTACGCCCAATCATTCTAGAACATTCTTGACAAGAGAAAGCAGTAAATAACCATTCATCGCACCTTATTACAGAGCACATTGCTACTTGTTTCAACTAAATAAATGCTAACACCTGCGCTTCCCGGGTGCTGTTCAACGAAATCGGGAGAGCCTCGGGATGTGCGGAGGCGCTCCCAATCCGCCCGCGGGCAACGATGCAATGGTCCAAATGGTCGCTGACAAAGCGGCCGACAAGTCGGAACCCGACGACGAAGGCTGGATCCGCGGGCAGAAGCAACGCCTGCGAGGCGAAGTGGGAGCTGGCCGCGCCGAGGGCAGCGCGCGCTTCCCGCCCTCGCCGCCTAGTAGCCGAGCAGGCTCTGGCAGTCGGGCGCCGTGGCCCTGCGGATCAGCGGGCGGCCCCGCAGCGAGGCGCCCCCTCTCCCCGCCTCGGAGCCGTGCTGCGCCGCGGCGGCGTCTGGGCCCCGCTGCTGCTGCTCCTCGTCGTCGCCGTCGTCCTCCTGCTCCCGCCTGTGGGCGCCGCCGTCCCCGCGAGGCGAGCGAGGGGCCGCCGGGCCGTCGCCGGGGGCCGCCGCCGCCGGCTCGGGCAGCTCAGGGATCAAGGCTCCGGAGGCCCGCAGCGCCCTCACGCAGCGCCCGTGGCCCTCGCTGGCGGCCAGCTGCAGCGCGGTGCGGCCCGCGCGGTCGGCGCGCTCGAGGCAGAGGCCGAGGCGGCGGAAGGAGCGCAGCAGCCACTCGACGACGGGCGCGCGGCCCTGCCAGGCGGCGTACATGAGCGGGTTCCAGCCTCGCGAGTCGGCCGCGTCCGGGTCGGCGCCGTACTGGACCAGCAGCTTGGTGACGTCCAGGTAGCCCCGCTCGCAGGCCAGGCTCAGCGCGCTCCGCCCGGCGTCGTCGCGCAGGTCGACGGCGGCGCGGCGCTCCAGCAGCAGCCGGGCGAAGGCCACTCGCCACGCGGGGTCCTTGAGCGCCACGGCGTGCATGAGCGGCGTGCGCCCGCGGTCGGCTCGGCAGTCCACGATGGTGCCGTCCACGGCGTCCAGCACGAAGCGCGCCAGGTGCAGGCGGCCCGCGCTCATGGCCTCCAGGAAAGTGCGCGTCGACGCCCCCGGGCCCAGGTCCCGCGGCCGCAGCATGGCTTGCTGCTCGTACCCCGCGCGGCTCATGGCCCGACGGCGACTCGAGGCGCCGGCTCCCCGGAGCCGCTTTATAACCTCGCCTCAAGTCGCCATGGCGATCGCCGCCTTGGAGCGTCAGGAGAGCGAGATCCACCGAAGCACCTCCGCGCTCTGCTTTGCGCGCTGGGGCGGCGGGCGGCGGGGCTGGGTCGTCGGCGGTTCCCGGAGCCCTTCCAGCGCCTCCCCGCCCACCTCGAATAAGGCAGGGCAAGGTCGTGCGCTAGATGCGCTGCCCTTGTTATTAGTGTGTTTTCAATGGTGTGACGTGTGACTTGTTCAAGGTGGCACGTCCACATCTCCATTGGCTGAGTGTGACAACAGTCTAAAAACCGAAGAACACTGGAACGGTATTTGTCCTATAGATCTGCGGGGAATTACGGTATTTTTTTGAAACAAGACACCATGGTGTTCTCCGAGTTGTGAAATCCTCCAGGGAGGGAGGAAGACGTGAAAATAAAATAAAATAATTTTAGTTGGAAGGTACCCAAAGGGTAATCTAGTCCAGCCCCCTGGAAGATGACTTGGGGGATCTTGATGCCTGAACTTTTTCAGGGCTCAAGGTGATATCATTGATAGTATGTGGTTCCATGGACAGAATCTATCTGCACAACACTTGATAGTTCTTATCACGGGGTGAAGAAGGGCTGAACTGTGACTTTTGACCACTATTTTGTTAAGGTGATGTGAAGACGCTCTGGGTGGCTGTAAAGTTACAGCCATCAACTGTGCATGTGTGAATTCACCCTTTGTTCCTGCATGAGCTTGTCAGAGGATCAGATGTGTGTATATGCAGTACATTCAGTCCCTGTAGCCCACGCACCTCCTGCGGGTCTTTTGCTCTCGACTTTCCTGCAGGGCAGATGGTTAGTAACAATACTGGGATCAGTGCAAGAAGGGGTGTATCCACAATCCAAAGTGGTCCACGATTGCCCTGACTGCCTTGTACTCACCTCCTCCTGCAGGTGCTCCTGGATGCCTGCAGCAAATGCACCATCCTAGGTGAAATTTTCATATCCTTTCATATGACCTCAAAGTCAGTGGTTTACAGGGGAGGCTGTACACACCTTCTGCTGTGTGTTGTGAAATGCAGCAAACATAGAGGAACCAGCCCAGAGTTGCATTCATTTCATCTCTATGCTGCCCTCACAAAAATTCTGCTTTTGCAGCATTCAGGTTTTGCAGCCTGATTATTTATTTATTTATTTATTTCCAGCCATTTATGAATGGCTTCATATGAAAGTAATTGAAGCAATTTAACAATTAAAACAATTTCATACATAAAAAGAATTAAGGCATAAATCTCTCTATAAGAGACTGGGTGAACCACTCTCCTGGCCCACCCATTCTGGCAGGTGAAGAGGAGCCCATTTCGGATGATGGCTCCCAAGCTTTGTAACCAGCTTCCCACTGTTGTGAGGCAGATCCATGAGCTTCTGGAGTTTCTGGACTACAACTCCCATCAGCCCCAGCCAGCATGGCCATGTTAGAATTCCTGCTCCGTGACTGCAGTCATGGGATTGTTGTCTTTCATATGACAATGTATGTTTTGACTCCACAGAGTGGGAAGTGATGGAGACAGGATGTTTGTGTTACTGTCTTCCATGAAGTGGGACTATTTCCTTTGTTCATTCCCTTTGCTGACTGATGCTAGAGAGAGAGGGAGCCATGTTGCAGTTCTCCATGTATGTTTATATGTAAATAAAGTAGATTAGCCAAAATGCTGAGTTGCTGAGGTCGGTTACACAAACTGTGAACACTGCGGATCCCTAAGTGTGCCAGTGTCTGTTGGCATTGGTCGCTGTGATGTTCGGGCTGAAGAAATCTTTTGAAGCTCCCGAACGAAAGACCAGGAGGGAGAGAACATGCGAGTCGGGCATGTGTCTCTGCCAGGGTCCTACTCAAGTGTAGGATGAGCTCCTGACAGGCCAATGGTCAGGGATGACAGGAGTCGTAGTCCACCAACATTGAAGGGTACCACATTGGCTACCCCTGCCTTAGGTTAAGGCAGAAATTGAGGCTGTTTTGCAAGTAGTAGTGTAGTTTTATTTTAGTGATGAATCCAGCATAAATTGAATCTATCTGTCAATTATCTGGCTCACAGAAAGTACACAAAACTCATGACTTGTCAGGAAGCGAGATGTCATGGGTGTTGGGGAGCATGGCTAGGCAATACCAGCTGCTGGCATGAGTTTGCAGCTTGAGTCAGGCAGTGCATAGAGGACCCACCTCTGAACATCAGAGCCCTGTGCTCTTACTGCCAGCCAAGTTGCCAATGGCAAACTTACCCACGAGGTCTAGAAACTGTTTTTTAATTTTAAAGGAGAACTGGGGTTTTCCCTTGTTCTCTGTCCCCTGCTAGATTCAGCAGGAACCTCCACATGCATGGTAATCTACCAACTCAGTGGGAGCCCCTGTATGTCAGGTGCTGCATTTTCCTCTTTGATCATTGTTTCTAAGGGCCAAGCAACATCATCCCACCAGCAAGCAGCTGTTGTGCTGCTGCTGCCAGACAGCTTTTCCCTGTGTCAAGAACCAGCTCCAGCAGCCGGATACTCATGACAGGTGTGCAGTGCCTGTTGGTGAATTCTTAGCTCTGCGCCCACCAGCTTTCAGCACATGACTGCAGTCAGATGCAAAGGGATGCTTGTGGTAGGATGCTAAAGGCCAGAGGTCACCACTAGCATCAGAGGCAGGACCTTTTAGGGTGAATTGGTGGAGCCCACATGCTGAGCAGCACCTGGCAGGGTCCTGTGACTTGGACCAACATACCAGGGATGAAAACATTTTAAAAATAGTGTTCTAGCCATTCTTATTAAGGCTATGCTTTGGAGACTTTCAGGCTTCAGTTCTATACACTGGGAGTAAACTACACTGAACTCAGCAGGCATGTAAAGGATTGCACTGTGAGTGCCTGGAGCATGAGAACAGTGTCAGCATCACATCAATTCTGGTGGGTCAGCATTCAGAATTGGCCAGGTATCAGGTGCCTATAAGCCACATGGGACCAAGTGAGGCTGCCTGGGCATCAAGGATGGCGCCTGACGTCTCCACCATCTGGAGGTGCATGCCTGGGGATCCTTGGATCTTGTTTTCACACACTAGTAACACATCCTGTAGAATTCTATCCATTATATTTTATCCGCACAATCGGAACAAATTTCAGGAACCTAAAAGGTTGTATTGAAAAATACGACTTTTGAGCTGACTGGCCCCCAAATGACAACTAGACATTCTGTTTTGGCAACTGTAACCCTGGTTTAAGGAGCCATTTGGTGCCTAGCTTATATATATGAGTTTCTAACGCTGCAGTGGGTATTTTTCTGGGCATTTGCTTTTGGCGTTTTGGTTGCCTGACTCTCCGCACTGCTTGAAAAGTCTCCTCGCAGCAATAGCTTCTGCTTAAGGCATCTGCTTCTGGCTCCTTACTGGTGTTTGTAAAGCTCTTGGAGAAAGTGTCATGGAACTAATTACAAGGAAGTTAATAAGCCAGCAATCAGGTGAGGTGCCTTCTGCTCCTTTCCAGCCTGCTACAAAACAATCTATAGCAACCTTTCTGTCTATGAAGGTGGGGGGAGAAAAGAGGATAAATTGCTGTTTGCATATTTCTCCTGCCTATAGAGTTGGCCTATTAGGGAACAATCTTGTGCTCACTGGGAGGATGGAAGAGGAGGATATAGGGTGCTGTGGATCCCTCACTTAGCCAGCCACCACTGGGACCCTTCCTGCTGCTGCAGCAGAAAGCTGTGCTTGTGGTGGAGTCCAGAACAAAACATGTTGGGGGAGGTGGTTGATCTGAAGAACAGCCACTCCCCCCCCTGCAAAAAAACCCATTGACCAGCCTTGAAGCTGGTATAATTAAGAATGAACTAGTTGCCATCCACCCTATGGGGCAGCAGGGCGATGGATCCAGTGGTTGCTGCACCATGTATCCTCTCCAATCCAGGCAGGTGAGATTGCTCTGTGCATTTGCAAATTAGGATACAATATGAATACACCGAGCATATGCACTTGCACACACAAAATATTGGGTGTCGTAGAATCATAGGATTGTATGTAGCGTTGGAAGGATCCACGAGGGTAATCTAGTCCAACCCCTGCAATACATTCAAGTAAGATTTACTCAAGGGTAGACCCCCTGAAATGAGTGAGTGTAGTAGTTAGAAAGTCAGACCCTAGGACCTGAGAGACCAGGGTTCAAACCCTCACTTAGCTATGAAGGCCACTGAGTGACCTGGGGCCAGTCGCTGCCTCTCAGCCTAACCTACCTCACAGGGTTGTTGTGGAGATTAATTTGGAGGGGGGGAATCATGTACGCCCCCTTGAGCTTCTTGAAGAATATAAAGTGGTCAATCAGTAAGTCAGGTCTATTATTTCCAATGGATCTACTCTAAATAAATGCCACCTATAGTGTCTTGTGATTAGTTCTTGCATCTAAATTAATCTGGGCTAAATACTATTCCAGTAGCAGCACTCATTCAGCTGTATACAATGCAGAGAATGTTGACAAGTGCTTTGATATTGATCAGAACTTGGTCATAAAGAATGCAATGCCAGCGATGAGACCAGCAGCGAAGCAGAACCCAAAGCCACTCCCTGAAGTTGTGATTATTATTCTTCCAGTTGCAATTGTTATTGTAGGTCCCTTTGGGTGAAACTGGTCTCCCTCTGGTGACATTGCATGCGGTCTAAGCATCCCTAGATTAATTAACATGGTATTTAATTTCATAGCACTGTAATGCCCTATGGAGGTACGGATTATTTGTCAAGTGAAAACAGTGCACTGTTTTCTGGAAGCTGTTAACAGCCCTTTGAACAACAGATTTTAGGAATTACACAGGAGGTGGTACCAACAAAGGAAAGGGATTGGCTATTGAGCTAATACATATGAATGTATCTCATTTGTCGAACAAAAAATAAACTGCTAGAAATTGCTGATCGACTGCTTGGTGCAGTGTGAAGGAAAGACAAGGCAGTAATGCATAGCTCGTAAGATGTTCAGTAGTGGTGACGTTCTTCAAATAGCATAGCTATCTTCAAATATCTGAAGGGCAGAAACTTTCTAAAATGTGTGAACCAAAATGCAGTCATCTGTCAAAATTTACACTTATCTGAATTTTGCAGTGCAGTGTTTTTTTGTTGTTTAGTCGTTTAGTCGTGTCCGACTCTTCGTGACCCCATGGACCAGAGCACGCCAGGCACTCCTGTCTTCCACTGCCTCCCGCAGTTTGGTCAAAAGTGCAGTGTTTACTAACTAAGTAATGTGCATAAAAATACATATCCTGGGGTAAAGTGTGCATAAAAAGTGATTTAGTGATTGTAGCAATTGATCTGTGAGTGCTCTGGTAGCTAGGATTATTTCAGGCCTCCTTTTTGACCATACTATTACCCGCAAAGAAGACACTTTTTTCGTTAAACCAGTCATAAACCCTTGGACTTTGATGCAGGTAGGGTGGGCAACTGTGCCCTGGAAGAGGAAAAACCTCACCTCTACGAGAGAGCCATTGCCTTCATGCCCTGCCAGGAAAAACTGTTGAACTGCTGTGGGATATGGGATGCTAAATTAACTGGACATTTATTCTGATCCTTCAAGGCTCTTTTTGTATTCCGACTACAGGTTTGGGTTTTTTTTAAAAAAAAGTTTATATTAAGTAGTGGGTGGACATAGCAGATGACACAGAGATTTCTCCAAGTAGTTCTTTATAAGTAAGCTGGAACTGAACTGAACAGCAAACGGCTCAGCCGGCCTGCTTTTATTGGCTGTCAACATTGTAACAACAACAGCCCAGGGTTTCCCACCTAAATTAACTTAGTGGATCTGAGTGCAAACTATATACACAATACGCCCTGGTGACCAGGGTGAGAACTTCAATATATAACAGTTTATTCCTATCCTGTATTGTCACTACAGATCCTGAAAGATAGAAACTCCAGTGTAGATGCAAACTAATCTGGGTTACCAGATCACAATAATCAAAGATTCAATGAGCTGATGGAAGTGCGACATGAGACAGCCCATTAAGTTCTATGGAACTGTAACGTCTGGAACAAAATGAGTCATTAAAAAAATCTGTGCCTTAAGAACAGGGTCAGGTGAGAGACTCACAGCCTGCTCACCAGTATATCGCTAGATTCCTCATCCTCTGCCGTATTCTCAGCCGTCTGAGTTTCACATCTTTCAGCAACAGGTATCAGGTTGTTTTCTTGCAGCTGTTGTTTCAGCCCCTGGCCTCCCTCACTGGCAGCATATAGGTTCTCTTTCTTTGCTGCATCAGCTTTCACACAGTTCTTCACTAAAACTTGCACTTCTGTGTCAAGAGCTTTCACTTTGCCTTCGTACTCTGCGTATGCCTCCTGCTGCAGCTGTACCGAGAGAGAGGTCAGTACATGAGACACACATGTTGCTCAAATGCTCAGAAGAAGCCCAGTAGTTGCTTGTTTGTGGAATTTTAAATGGTGCTGCTGGGGGGAAAGCCTTTGTTTTACAAAGCCTCAGTTGTTAAGGGCCAAATTAGGCATGCTCACTTTTGTGATGGGGAGCTATTAGGATCATTTTTTTATGAAAAGTAGCTGACCATATTTGGATTGGGAGGGATTACTTTGTACACCCCCCCACCTTATGCCAGTTCTCTCGTGCAAGGCACCTCGGCAGCCAAGAGCTTTGGGGAAGGGGGTAGGAACCGGGATTTTGGAATCACGTGGGCTCACTTTACCCTACACAAGAGGTCAGCAGCCGTTTTGAACCAGTGAGCACATATGGAATACTGGGAAAGTATTGTGGGTGACCGTTACAAAATGGCTGCTGTCATTGTGGTGTGGAAAAGCACAAAATGGCTGCCATGGGGTTGTGGTATAACATCCGCCACTAGTGAACTCACAAAGAGAAGCTCTGCACAGGAGGGTGGGCATCGAATCCTGGCATCCACTGAAATGCAAGGATGTTGGATGGGGTAGGTTCAAAGTAGGAGAGGCTTAACCATTGCAAACAGGAGCTAGGCAGGGACAACAAACAGTCCTTTGTGCATTTTGCTGAGCTATTTGCTGAGACCTTCAGCACATACCACAGCAAGTACAATCAAGCACACTGGTGTATGTGAGTGCTGTGCTGTTGACCCCTGCCCAACACCACATTCCCAGTCCAAATGGTCCCCTTGGTACTCCCAACTCTGGGTAATTTGTTTGCTGTTTCCTTTCTGCATGCTTATGTGCACTAGTCAGTGCCCAGCTGGCTTCGGAGTGAGGTTTGCACCACTTGCCCTCTAGTCTTTGTCAGACTTGCTTCATTGCCTGAAGCTCCCCAGAATGCCAAGCAGCCACTTGGGTGCCACAAAGCTGGAGAGGATGCTCAGGAGCGAAAGTGTCAACCACCCATTTCATCTCAACCATTCCATAGCAAAACTAGGGCTTCAAAAGGATTGTTGGCTTTCTCTTCTTAGAGCAGGGGGTTGGAGTAAATTATCTCTGGGGTCTATTCTAGATCTTTGATTCTCCCATCCTCTTACCTGGTTTTCCTTTTCCTTGATTGCTTCTAGGCAGGCTGCCTGCTTTTTCTCCAGTACTTCTTGGTCCCTAGCCTGTTTTTCATTCATCTTGAAGCAGGGAAAGAAAGTATTTTAAAAGCCACCATCTTCAAAGCAACAGTATAAAAGCGAAATAAAAAGAATAGTCCAGTAGCACCTTAGAGACCAACTAAGTTTGTTCTAGATATAAGCTTTCGTGTGCATGTACACTTCTTCAGATAGTATAAAAGCGGCAAATGTTATTGCTAGGTACTTGGGGCATAGGCTCATGGCACAAGTTTGCATAATGGTATAGACTGCCTCTGGGCAAACTGAGTTAGTGAGTGGGTGGGATTTCACACTAGCACTGCATTTTGCAGTGTGCTCAGTAAAAAGTGATTCAGCGGCAGGAATTCTGGGACCCAGCAAAGAAGAAGACGACGAGCTCAGGCCCCTGGGCCGCCCCCTAGAAACACCCCTGATGAATCCCTGTGGTCCATCAGCAATTGTTAAGCTGACAAAGCAGGAGTGCACACTCAGGATTTCTTAGCAGCTAAGGCATAGCTATTTATTTTTTAAAAATGTTTAAATATTAAAGGCCACTTTTCTGGGCAAATGGCTATCCAAAGCAGCTTGCAACCAAGGACTATAAAAGAAAAAAGAACTAGTTAATACTGTCATCGTGAGAAGGACCTCTCTCCTTTGTGGCCACCCACCTTCCTGACCTAGGGGGCAGGCACAGCAGGAGATTTCAAGTTCCAGTGGGGTGGTAAAGGTGCAGGTCCTCCAATAAATGGTTCGGGCCTAAGCTAAGCTGAGTGAAATGATCCTGAGAGTGTACTTTTGCGTTGTACAATTGGACTAAGATTTGCCAGAGGCCTTATCCAACTAGTTTTCGTGACAGCCTTACCTGTTTGACCATCTGTACCACTTCCTGAATGTGCGCATTGTTGATTTCTCTCTTCAGTCTGTAGAGAAAAAACCACCCTATCAACACACTTTGATAATGATAACCTTCAGCAGGGAAACGCTTCAGTTAGTCATGACTGAGAGGTTTATCACAGATGCCCAGTTAAGAATTAAAATGACAGGGTGTTAAAGGTACATGATTTGCCAGCAAAAGGCATTGTGTTGTAAAGAATTGTACTAAAGTGATAGATTTACAGGATTTCCCTGTAGTGGTGATGATAGCATTGTGTATCAGTTAAGGAAACCTGCACAAATGAATTGGGTTGTGGTAACCTGAGAATGTGCTGTGCAGTACTTACGCGTGTCTGACAAGGACCAGGGAGGGTTAGGTTCAAATTCTCACTCAGCTATGAAACTCACTTGGGACCTTAGGCCAATCACTGTTTGTCAGGATTGCTGAGAGGGTATGTGAAGTGTGTGTGATAAGCACAGATCAGCTGAGGATGTGTGGGAGAGTGTGTGGGTCACACTCATGGCTGATATGTGGCCCCTAGAGGGTTGCTCAAGGATGAATGTGGCCCTTGGGTCAAAAAAGGTTAGCCATCATTGGTTTAGCAGGATACCAGAATTCTCACACTGTTTTTAAGTTTTAGGCTTTTTGCAAGTAAAAAATTGTTTCTAGCTAGGCATGGAGGAGAAATTCTGTTTTGTTTCCATTTTAACTACCTCATTCACACTTCTTGAACCAATATGCAAACTGAAATATGGCCATCCTTCAAAATGTGCACTTTTCCAAATTTTGCAATAGCAGTTCTCTGTCCAAACCATATACAAAAATATTAGGGGGAAAGGTGCATTAAAATGCACATATTAGTGAAAATAATATTAAAATGCATTACATTACTGGGATTTGCTTGCAAAAATGCATGCATGAGTCAAAATGTGTTTATTAGGATAAATTTGCACTAAAATACTGGTGAAGAGGATTAAAAAAATAAATTGCAATTTGCTGCAGAAATGTGGAGATCTAAAATTAAGACTGGAAAAAGGAAAACTAGGGGTAGGCAACCTAAGGCCCGGGGGCCGGATGCGGCCCAATCACCTTCTCAATCCGGCCCGCGGACAGCCCGGGAATCAGCATGTTTTTACATGAATGGAATGTGTCCTTTTATTTAAAATGCATGTCTGGGTTATTTGTGGGGCATAGGAATTTGTTCATCCCCCCCCCCCAAAAAAATATAGTCTGGCCCACCACATGGTCTGAGGGATGGTGGACGGGCCCACGGCTGAAAAAGGTTGCTGACCCATGACTTAGAGGGTCAAAATTGACAGATTTGTCCATCTCTATTTCTAGCTAATGCCCAGCCCTGTGAAAGAGTTCAGCAGATACAAACTCCAAAGAGGCCAATCGGTCTGCCACAGTACCTTTCCTGGGCACTCTTGTCGGTTGTGTTCTTAGCCATGGTCTGAATTTTTTCCAATCTTTTCACCTCTAGTTTCTTTTTCATTTCTTTAGTGTCACTGTAGAGGAAGATATCACCTAGAGTTGATCGATTTCAGCAATAACACATTTTTATCTCTGTAAATTGCTGTCTTCTTGTCTACCTAATGTCTTCAATCATTTCAGTCATAGAGCACAGGTTAGTAAAGGAAGCACCACATAATGCTCTTTGTTTACAGGCCTGAAAATGTTCCTTGCCGGAGGTAAATGATCCCAGTGGAATGAGAGAAAATGCATAGGTATTGTGTGCAGGTTACATCATGCAAATCCCTTCTGACCACCCCTTCTATTTCTTGCCCAGCCAAACGACAGATGAACTAGACTAGCACCAACCAGGACTGCATGCACTGAGCCGTTTCAAAATAACTGCATCCTTCCTATCAGCTGCAATCCAGTCTGAGCAGGGAAAACACAAGCGAAAATTAAGCCATGCAAAATTAGTAGATTAAAACGCTGGAAAAAACTTACATTATTTTGTTACCTACCTTTCCCAGGATTCCTTTAGTGCCTTTAGCTCAGATGCTTGCTTTTCTCTTGCAAGCTCAATTATTTTAGAAATTTGCTGTCCAAAGATTAAAACACAGGGTAGAATGTCAGAATTTAATTTTACTCTTTTTCTTTTCTTTCTAAAACTGCAAGTTGCTCCTCCATTTGTGGGAGGGCCTTTTATCCAGTGGAAGCTCTTGCTGGAGGAAGGGAGAAAGGCAATTTTTGCAAGTTCCTACTTCTGTTTGCAGCCCATTGTGCCACCTTTTTCATTGTCCTGGAAGAGCCCTGGACAAGCTGGAACAGACCTTAAGGGTGCTGCAGGGAGAAGGAGGAATCGGCGAAATTGTAGCCTTCCCTTCCTGCAGCAGGAACAGCCCATGAGCAGAGTTCCTACGATAAATCTGGCTCCAACCTGTATTCAGCCATAAAATAGCCCATGAGGTCTATAACAGCTAGTTTGGGGTATATTTGACACTGTCTGTGACACATAGACTTGAACATCAGACAACCATAGCAGTGAGGATGAGATGCTGCTGCTCTCTTATATTAAAATCTACAGAACAAGCAAGTGGAAAACATGGTTTTCCCTCACCCTTACCTGCCATTCCTGCGCTGAACGTTTTCTTGTGAACAGATTTATTTGTCTGACACTACTCAGTTGCAACCAAATGATCTGAGTTGTGTTCAGGCAGTAGCACTTGGGATCACTGACTTCATGCCTTGAGATCCTCAAAGATCTTCCTCTGAGTGCCCCTAACCAAATGATGTGCACTAGGTCCTTTTCAGTGGTGGCATTGCCACTATGGGATGCCCTCCTCAAAAAAGGCACACATGGGGCATATTTTGGTGCCATTTCAGTGTGAGGTAAAGATCTTTTTATTTTCCCAGGCATTTTAATCTGTCTTTAATCTGTGCTTACTCTATGTGACTTATGTTTTTATGCTGTATTATATTTATATTGCTGCTTTTAGTGCAATTAGATTTTAAATGGTTTCATCTTCTGTTGTGGGCTGCGCTGAGAACTCTGTTGTAGGATGACCTGTAACTACTGCAAGCAAATGTTAAGTAAGGAAAGGGTAATAAATCTTCTATCTGTACCTCTGTGGCATGGAGCTCTTTCTTCTTCCGAATTGCATCATACTGCTCTTCTCCTAGCTGCATTAGCTCTTTCTCCAGCTTCTCCTTCAGCTCCAAGACTCTGTTGTCAGGAGGACTCTCTGCCATCTCACCGGAGTTCCTTCCTGAGCTGCTGTCATCCACAGTCCACTTCCTGCAACTTCAGACGAAGAGGAACAATTCTCACAATTTGGCTAATATTGTGACCAATTCACTGCTGTACCACCAAGGAGCCATTTTTCATGAGATCTCTGCATGGCATCATATTGCCACTATGTTCTATAACAGCTATAGATTATGGGCCTTATTCTGCCATGTGAGAAAGAAGAGAGGCAGGCAGGGAAACCATTAGGCCTTTGCCAGTCAGACTGTCCACTTTCAGGACCAATGAACATCACCTGCCCCATGAAAAGGAAGATTAAAGGCTGGGAGAGGAGAGGGAATTGTTTGTGTTTTATTTTTATGAGCATGAGACTCTTAATCTCAGGATCATGGGTTTGAGCCCCCACAATGGGGTAGAAGATTCCTGCATCGCAGGGGATTGGACTAGATCAGGCACAGGCAAACTCCAGCCCTCCAGATGTTTGGGACTACAATTCCCATCATCCCTGACCACTGGTCCTGCTAGCTAGGGATGATGGGAATTGTAGTCCGAAACATCTGGAGAGCCGGAGTTTGCCTATGCCTGGACTAGAAGATCCTTGCGGCCACTTCCAACTCTGCAGTGATTATGGAATTGTAGAATTGATTATAGAATTCCATAATCATAGGATTGTAGAGTTGGAATAGTCCCTGAGGATCTTCTAATCCAACCCCCTGCAGTGCAGGAATAGTCTATGCTTCTCTGTGATGGTGAGTGGGTGGGACAGTAGCGGAACTGTAAACTGCCATGGGTGCCGTCACAAAAAGGCAGTATATAAATCCTATAAATAAATAATATAAATAACTTGCTCTTTAAGCAGTAGAGCCATCATTAATCCTTGATTTTGCTTCCTTTATACCCTGCAGCTGTCATATTTAGAAAGTGGCTACATAGCAAAACTGTGGTATTGTAATTCTCTGTTTATGTAACAGCTGTTTATTGCAGCTGTTGTGTAAGAAATGCCCTTTTATTTTGTTTCCCTTTGTGAAGAGGCATTTCCTTAAAATACTTTGGGATCTCTGAGCTTTGTGATTAAATAATTACATGAGACACATCTGTGATTGGATTTTCTTCAGTGCTTTGAATTGCACCTTTGCTTCCTTCCTTGTCATTGTGGCATTCCCCTTCTGTTTCGTTGTGTATTTGTGTGGCAGGTGTCTATACGACTGAGAATAGTAGTACACTGTTCCTGCCACCTGCCAGGGGCTTCTCCTCACACTCTTTTCTACCACTGAGATTAACACAGTATCAACACACAAATCAGTAACACACACCTAAATCTCTCTCTCTAATGCACATACCTAAATCTCTCTCCTCTGGAAAAGCCTAAAGTCCTATAATGTCTCAGTAGTCGAACAAATTCCTTTTATGCCATGATACATTCATTATGAAAGAAATGTATTAAATAAAGTTACAGTTAACAGCAAGTCTTCTGATGGCCAGTAAGGATCCCACAGCCTTTTCTGCTCATGATCCAATTTCTACCTTTTCTTTTTCTGGGTTTTAGGTGGGCATGGCATTTTCTTTTTGCCAGCTTGCATGCCCAACTCCATGAAAAGGACGGCATATTTCTGCAACAGCTCTTCCTTGCGCTTCACTGTCTTCCGTTCCACCTCCTTCAGGTCTTTCTCTTGCTTCTTCAACAGTTTCCCAAAATTCTTCATCTGCTGCAGCTCCTCAAAGCTCGCCGTTTGCAGCTCTGAAACATAGCATGAAAAAGAGATGCATCTGCTTAAACGAGATGCTAAATTGCCACTTATTTTCACCATCCACTTGAAGGACCTTTCTTTGCTATACTCCAGGCACATCCAACTCCGAAGAGACTACAATCTACTCCCAGTATAAAAAACTGGGAGTAATCTACCCATTGTCATTGGAGGGAGGAGGAGCATGCGTGGGGTGGGTGGATTGCCCAGAGTTGTTGAGCCCAGAGTTCTTCAGCTTTTATTTCTTAACTTCCAGTAAACTTTTATTTAATCTCACGATTGATAAGGGTCCCACACTACCAGGATCAGCCAGGGATCTACCAGTAGATTGCAATCTACTGGTTGGACACGCCTGCATATACTCCATCTCCTCTCAAGGTGATCCTATGATTGCACATACCTATATCACAGCATCTCAGCACACAAACCACAATATTTTATCCCTGGGAAAACATAACACTTGCCTCTACGAAAGAGTTCTGCGCAGATGCGACTCTGCAAATGTCAGAGGCCCTTGTTGGGTATTGTTTGTGACACTGGAGTCCACAATATCTTATGCATGTACAGGGCTTACCTGGGCCCCTTTCCACTGTGTCTGCCATGCCCTCTGGAAAGCCATTCCTAAGACACAGGACCCTCCAGATATGCAATGCAGAGTAGAGGGTTAATGATTCCCCCCTCTTGCATAGATTGCAACCCACGACATTTTTCGAACTTTTAAAATGTGTGTCTCTGTGTGAAGTTCAATTTATTTATTTTTTGGAAAGTGTAAATATTGCTGTAGAATCTTATGGACACTGTAAGCTCTCCTATTTTCTGTCTTCAGTGCAGGAGCACTCATTTAGCCACACCTTTTTAAAATGTGGCTAGCCATAACAAAGTCACTACCTACCTTGGCAGCATTGTTCCATAATTTTATGAACCTTCTGCTTAGCCTTAGAAACCTTCTGTTTATTCTTATATTTTAGATGCCCTCCAGCACACATCTAACTACTTAAAATGTGTGTGCATGTGTGTTCTTCCACCCCTTAAAAATATGCAGATAAAAAAGTGATGGACAATTCTATTGCTTTATTTTTGTAAACCACTTTGAGGTATTTTACAATTAAGCGGTGTATACATTTTATGAAATAATAAAGTATGAATCTGTAGCGCTAACTACTTTTCTGCAACAATAAACCTGCAGTTTTATTATTTTCATTAAAAAAAAACTGTATAAGATTACATGATTCCTGTGAAGAAAACTGGCTGGATTGTTAAAGTGTGTCAGTTAAATCATTCCAACACCATATTTTTAAGGTCCAGGTAATCCCAGAAAATGAAAATATGCTGTTGGGATGTGCTTTGCAGGATTCTGTGGCTATGCCCAGAAGCTGCTATCAATTCTGTGCAGGATATAAAAAGAATATGGGGAAAGGTGAATCGGGGCCTGTGATTGACTTACCTCACATTTTGTAATGAGTTCACTTCCAGTACAGTTACAGTAGCACAAGGCTAGCCAACATGTTGCCTTCTAGGTGCTGCAGGACTGCAACTCCCATCATACCTTGCTATCGGCAATGCTGGCTAGGGCTGATGGAAGTTGGAGTCCAACAACATATGGAGGTTGCCATATTGGCTGTCCCTGCAAAATCAGGGCAGAAATGAAAGTAATTTGAACTTGAATGTTGCCATTCAACAGGAACAGGATTAGAAATACCTGTAGGTTCTTTTGTAGGTTCTTTTGTGGTCTCTTCTTTTCCTGTCGAGGTTCCTTTTCCATTCAGGGTTCCTGAGGGGCAAAAACACACGACGGATGAGTGAGCTTATTCTGTCTCGTGAAAGATAACAGCCACTGAAATTGATCACAACCAGCATGTTAAGTGAGTCCCAATGAAATGAGAAATGTCAACCCTGCTTCTTGTCTCCTGAATCAATATCATTTCTTTTCAGAATCTGAACAGCGTATATTTAAGCTGCCGTGCTCAGCCCCAACCATATCCATAGCATTACCTCCAGGCCCGTTTGAAGGAGGAGTACTAAAGGTCCCTGTGGCATTATGTATCCCGTTGGTATTGAGTTGAACAGATGAAAGACTTTTTTGCAAGTCAGGCCCCTAAAACAAAAATTAATTGTGCATCAGTTATAGCAAAACAGATCACTAGAAACAACTGGACACTTTCCCTTCAGTTTTGCTTCGTGGCATTGTGTATTTTGCCACACTGAAACTATAGGAGGCATAAGAGAGAGCCATAAGGTACATCTTTAATCTTCTTGCAAACAGCATCACTGTGGACTTTGGGTTTTAGTCTGGTTGGTGGTGGCACCCTCTTGTCCCTGCTGGAAGCTGAGGAGACACTGGCTTGTGTCTATGTGGCTGAACAGGCAAGCAGAACAGGAGATTTAGGAACAAGAAATAAATACACTAGAATTGAGGAGGGGGTTGTATTGCAGCTTGTGGCAGGGAAATGTGATGCTTGTGGTTACTAGTACAGTAGTGCACTAATGTGCCAGGCACAGGAGCCTTCTATGGAAGTTTGTGTTACTGCAGTATTTAATCCATTAACTTGGTCAATCAGTCAAAGCCATCCATTGATTTAAAACCTTAACTGCCTGCAGTGGCATAAATAATTTCAAACACAATGCTAAGAATGCCTTCCCATCTCTAACTCTTTCAAAGAATCCTGTAGATACAATTAATGTGGTATGTAATGCTTGAAGCAACTGCTTTTGATGTGAAAAACAGTCCCCAGATACATCCTATTTGAATTTTTTAAAAAGATCTAGTGGGTGTAGGTTTTCCTATCCCAATGAATGAATGTTCATTTTTTTAAATTGCCAGTAGCTAGCTTCTCCATGGAGAAAACTAGCATTTGGGGCTGCCTCTCCTTTTATGGAAAATGGATATTCTAATTCAATATGGAAATGCACACATTTAAAGATGCACAGTATAGGATGCTGTGATGGCATTGTACACATGAAGGAAACTATTAAAATTTAACTCCAAGTGTGTTCACTCATTCCTTTCAGTTAGTGTCCCCCTTGTAAAATTAATTGCATGTGGTTCAAGCCAACTCTGCAATACCCAAAATGGGTAGAATTCTGGACCATCATTTTAAGATTATTCTTGGGAACTGAACTTTACTCATGATCCAAATTCTGCTGCCAGCTTCTGCCTGTATGCCCCTCCTAGGGCGAAAAAGTCTCCTTTTAAGAATTGGTTCCCTTCCTACATTCCTGCTCTTGATTCCCCTAAGCAAATAAAACCCAGATGGAACCTCCACGTCTTCTCTACTTACCATTTCAGGCATTTTTGACACGCGCCATTTGCAGTAACTTCAGCTTTTATTGCATGAATTCTGCTGTTAGTCACCTTGAACTGTACAAGTGAAAGTAGAATGCAATTATTCTGAGTAGGTAAATAAATAAAAGTATCTGTGGAACTCACCTCAGGAGTATCCTCTTGGTTCTTCTCTGATTTTTTGTCATGTGCGTTAAAAAACTTTATTGGGTTGGAGAGCGCCATGGTGAGATCTAGGGAAATAATCCAGGATTTTCAACAATATCATATCATCCCTCTCCTACTTATTCCTTACTGCTATGTTTCTAGGAGTATGTTAGAGATCATATATCCTGAGTTTTGAGTCTCTCAGTTCTCCAGATTCATGTATAATAGTACAGGTTCATTAAGGGAACAACCCTACTGCCAGTTCTGTCAGGATGAGCAGGCTAGGATTCAGCATATATCTGGATAAACCAGGGGTTTTCAGCACAGTTGGGCTACACCGGCTTAACTCTCGCATTCTCATCTCAGCATCCCCTACATCCCAGCTGGCTATGCTGAGCCCAGTGGAACTTAAGCTGGTGTAAACCCTGAAAAAGGGGTGTGTCTCTTTAAGCAATGGTGTTCTTGGGACACATGCCTCATGAATAGGAGATGGCTACCCACATGAGCCAAACCTCAGGACACATTTCCACTTCACCTCTCCCAGAAATTTATGAAAATCACTGGATTTATGAATACATCAGCCAGCCCTTAAGAAACAACTATTACAAATAATGACCACCTGACCATCATGCCTCAAGTTATCAAAGGGCCTACAGAGTTGGCAAGTCACATTCTGGATCTGGTGCTTGTAATGGGTTGGTGAAAGCGGGCCAATAGTGGAGGGTTTGTTGTGATCCAGTTGTCATGGTCAGACCATTTTCTAGTAAGGTCTACACTGCTAACTCGTTTTTCTTCATGGTGGTGGTTTAACCTTTGAAATTCTTCATGGCACAGAATCCAGATACTGTAAGGATCACCTCCCATATTAACCTGCCCAAATATTAAGAACTTTTACTGAGCCCCACCATCGCAGATCAAGAAGGCAGATCTGTGGCACCCCCAATATGGAACTCTTTCCCAGGTAACTGCTGGATTATCTTTTCAGTGAAATGTCATAGGAAGACATTGTTATTTCTTCAGGCATTTGAATGATGCACATTTTTAATATTATAAGGGTGATGCAATTTAAACTCTGCTAATATCTGCAGGTTTCATTCTGCTGTTTTAATTAATACATCATTTGCTATTTTATATCGATTTTAACTGAGCCATTGTACATTTTATTATTGTAGTTTTTCTTTTCTGCTCTGGGGTAGATATTATGAAGATGTGACTAAAAAAAAAGGTAACTACATCCCTCTTTCAGGTTTTTGGAATACGGTACCTGCCCACGAATCCGGAACATAGTCTTTCATCTCCACATACACAAAGAGAGAAGGCATTGTAAGTGGCATGTTGCTCTCACTACGAAGGCAAACATGGTGATAGCCTAAAACAGAAAGCACATATCCCAATAGAAACAGGTGGCAAACAGAATGCTACTGAGGGACTGTTTTGGAAAATGCTGGAGGCAATCAGAAGTCAGCTTCGAATGATGCAAGGTGCAGCAAGTCACCTGCAATGGCAGGTTCTGCGTACCAGTAAGCAGGGCTGGCCCAAGGCATTTTGGCACCTGAACCACAAAATGGTGCCCCCACCAGGGGAGAAGGGGTGAGTGAAGATCCACATCAGGAACAAGGGGCAATAGTGATCTACATCAGGAACTAAGTGTGTGGGGAGACCAGTAGCACCTCCAATTTGCCAAGAGGCTGCTGTGGAGGTGGCATGGTGGGGGGCAGGCACTGAGGAGGGGACACATCCAACCTCCCAGGTGCACACTGCAACCATTGCTGCCACAGTGCTTTCCTTGGAGTCTGGCTCTTCTGCCCCTCTGGATTCTGCTGCCTGAGGTGGTTGCCTCACCTTATCTCATGGATGGGCCGGCCCTGCCAGTAAGGATAGTGGGCATGGGAGCTGACTCATGGAGCACAGGCCCTCAGAAAGTTATCCTGTATAAGTCCTATTGAAATGGCCAGGAGTTATGAATCACAAATAATAGAATTGTAGAGTTGGAAGCGACCACAAGGATCATCTGGTTCAATCTCCTGCAATGCAGGAATCTTTTGCCCAACATGAGGCTCATACCCATGACCCTGATATTAAGAGTCTCATGCTCTACCAACTGAGCTATAGTTGTGGAAGCTCCGTTCATTTCAATTAATTGTGGCAATGTCTCAGTCTGGTGAGGAAAACAATAATTTCCATATACAAACCATGACACATTCTCACTATGAATATTTATGGCTCTGGAAATGATAGGGTAGAAGTTAGTGAAAGGACTCTAGAAAAGCACAGGCAAAATGACCAAGCAGCTTTTATATACAAATAGACTAAATTGCTAGATTTTTCAGTTAACAGAGGATGCAGCTATGATTGAGTTATATAGAAAGGGAAGAAGCAGAGGGCATTTGGTAAAATTAATAAGCATCAAGTTTAATACCAGCAGAGATTACACACACAGAGATATGAAACAAATACAAAGCTCACTGCCACTAGCAGTTTCTACATATATCCTATAACACATGAAGGGCATGTGGATTCATGCAGAAAAATTACCAGTCAACCAAATGATCTAGTGAAGAAAGTAAGTCCATTTTCAGAAATCTCAAAAATAGTCCATTCTCACCTGAACGCACAGCAGTGATGGGAATGACACGTTGCCCTATGAACTTGCCTCCTTCCTCCCAAACCACAATTCTGAGAGAAGCTAGCTCTGGCATCAAAATCTGTCAAGAAAGAATCAAATGATGCTTATCTTCAATTGACTTAAAATATTTTAGAAAATGGAGTTCTCAAGAATCATGAACTCCTGGATTGTCCAAGTATTTTCTTTTATACTTCCAGTTCATTTGTTTTTGCTAGCTCTGTTCCCTGTAATAACGGACTATGTTTTATTTAACCTACTAGTGTCCTGTAGGTTATAGCTGGCTGAGAAAACATAGCGCTTGTGCAGTTGCACAACACTGATTTGAATGTAGCATTGTATCAGCCTAATTGATTCTAAGTAAATGCCAAAGCATACAAAACAGCTTAGCGTTCCCTATTTTGTTTTGGTTTTTTAGCACACATTCCCCCCCCCCCCCCGCCCATAACCAGAGGTAGTGTGTGTGATAAGGAATATGTGTTTTGGGAAAGAAGGAAGAACTGTATGAGATATGGTTCATAATGTTGAAACAGGAGTATGGCTGATTTAAACATGATAACCCTAAATAAACAGCTCACAATGGGCTAAGTTTATGTCCTGAACAACAGACAACTAAATTTCCTCACCATTCACTGTAGAAACTTCACTCCTTTGCACAGGAAGATGTTATCTTAGGAGGTGATCTAAACTGAAACATTAGGGAATCTCACTACAAAATATACATGTCAGGCAGCATCTCTCCTCCAATGATCGCAGGGAACTTAAAACTATTGCACCTCCTTGAGAGGTGGGGACTGCGAGATACGCAGAGTGAATTTGACTTGACAGACGTGAGCTTTTCATTTCATACCAATTTAAAACAAATACCTGAATCAATTTCGTTACGGCTTCCAGCTCACTACTCGCTATGGTAACATCCACAAATATTGGCTCTATAAAAATTACATATCACACGTCTGGCTCAACTTCTTTTACATTGAGCTCATAGTTAGAAATGAGTCATTCCTGGTCTCTTAAACCAGCTTTGCTTGCTAATCAGTACATTAGAGAATGAATTGAGACAGCTCTTAAGAATTACTTTGATGAGAATAAGCAGGAGGGGACTTCTATTATGGGAGGTTCAGGGGAATTTGTATAAAAGGTTGGGGGTTTTTTATAGAGAGAAAAGAACCTTCTCTGAGATAAAGAACTAAGAACTAGAAATGTCCTTACTATTACAGGAATACAAGAGGACCGGGTCAACTAAAATAATCAACGCTGCCAAATTTATACATGAGGGGGAAATAAAATTAAGATGCCTTCTAGTTCAACAAAGCAAGTGTATATTTCCATAGTCCATTTGATTTGCAAGTTCCACTTTAAAAGCACAGAACAAAATATTTTGTGGGTTCATAAAATAAGAACAGTGGACTTGGATCTGGAATATTTTAATTTTAAAAAGCTTGTTCAGACAAGAGCTCAGTGGGTAATTTTTGGATAAGCCTCAGTCTCTCAGCTTCAGTTCTCCATCTGTGAAATGGAAATGTCAATTATTTGCCTCACAAGGTTGCTAGGAAGAAGGAAATCAGTATTGTAAAAAATGCTGTGCATGAAAGTTGTCAAAGGAAATGTAAAATATAAGCAAGAGGCTCCTAGATCACTCAACCCCACATACCCTATTTACACTGTAGTTGGAAAGTTGACCTCAGTCCATGGAAGTCTAGAACTGTCAAAGAAGCTTGTTCTTAGAAGAGACACCTGTTGCATGAGGCACTGTTACCTTTTCAAAGACAAAAGCATCCTCTTTCCATACAGGGTTGATTGAGTTGGCATTTGGTGACATCTTGGTTCTGTATCTGCGTTTTGGATCACCCGGCAGTCCATATAACTCCACTTCTACATATGACCTCACACTACGTTCTGAGAGGAACTGACCAGAAAGTATCTACGAATACATGGAAACAAGATCAACAGAGCATTTACTTAAACCCAGTTTACATCATCCATCGTTATATCATTAGAGACTGTCACTATATTGCAGATGGAATTCAATTACATACTGGCAAAATACATATTGCACAATTAAAGTGAAATTGCCACTCTGGTGCAACAATCCCCCCTCATCTCACAACTTGAACTTTTTGCAGGAAGGAAAGTGATGAGAAAACACACTGAAAAGCTGCCAAATGTGAGATAACGACTGCTCAGTACAATGTTGTATAACCTCCATGCAAACTTTGTGAAATCAGGATGATTACACAATAATTAGTTCGTTGGGGAAAGTCCTTAGTTTGTGGTTCTTCTCTACTTTAATCCTTCAGATGCATTTTCTTGCTTTAGTGCTACTTGTGTCATCTTTCTATTGCTCATTCTCCATTTTCATTTGATTCACTACATTTAAACACTGAAGGAAACTAGCCTTTTTCAAAATACCACTTTGCAGGTTACTGCAGGTGCGTTTTTCCACAAAGAGCCTTGCTGGGTGATAAATGTCTTGGGGCCTCGGGATTATACCCCTGTTTAAAGGGCTCTAAATCCAGAAGCAACCTAGCGCTTGTTACTTACTGTTATTGAGAGTGTGCTCGCCACCACCACATCAATGCGATCCACAGAGAAAGGGTCAAATTGCTTATCTGGGCGACGCATGAAGTCATGCTTGAGAATATAGCCGCTCTGCCCATTGAATTCAAAGAGAGCCAGATTCTGCTGCATGGGAATATCTGTTAAGGGAGCAGGCCAACAGGAATAAATAGGTAGGAGTGTCTGTTAGCATGTATGTATAGTATGAATGAAAAGCAGATGAAATTGTGCTTCAGCAGCATATTCATTTCAGAGTCCTCAGTGTGCTTTACATAAAGGGGATTAGCCACCTATGGGCTTACTCAAGTTTCAACTATAGGGCCACGTTCCAGCACAGATTCTGAAAGTGCCCATTTGTTTTTAACTGCTCTGGCACCTTTATATGAGTGCACTCCTACATACATCTACTCAGGAGTAAACCCCATGGCATTCTAATCGGTTTATTGCAGAGTTAACTCCACACAGCAGCCTATTTCATGAGATGTATACCTCACTAATAATTATGTTCCAACACTGATGTCACCTATGTGTAGAAATATATATATATAGGCACCATCATGTATGAAAGCTGTACATCTGCTTCATTCCATGTACACATGCTGGGAAGCTGCAAATTGACTGTACACATGTGGTGAAAGAAGCACATCTGTACTTGTCACATGTGATGATATAAAACTTTCTCCTAAATGGAAATGATACTGATGTAGGAAAACATTCATGAGTAAAGTGCTGGTGGATGTTTGCACACAGGCACTGAGATACATAGGACAATAAATCAAACTAATAAGGAAGAATGGAAGATAATGAGGAAAACTGCATCTTCCTGCCACTTCTATTGGATATCCAGTTTTAAAATGAATGAACACCTCAGTCCACTTTCTCATTACATTCCTTGTCCCATTCCTCTTACAATTCCATCGACACCTTCATTCTCTTGTGTACTTTTTTTGATTCATCCTGCCTCCCTTTCTCCCAAATTTATTACACTGCCTCCCCGCAAGTTCCCATCTGTTCACTTTATCCTTTCCTTTTCCTCCCACTCTTCTCCTCATCACACAACTCTGCTCTTCTATGCATGAGTGTAAGGAAGAAAGGAAAATTACTGAAGAGAGGGAACAGAAGTCATACTGGCCATTGTGTTCCAAGGGAGACTGAACCCTTTCCCTTCCTCACAGTGAAATGAGAGTAGATCAAACTATGCAAGGCTGCAGCTATGAGGGGGGTCACAGATGTTGCACTACATTACACATCCACTGCAGGTCAGGCATCCCTTATGTGCTCTGACTTGCTATATTAGCACTGCAACAAGCATCTGGTAATGTCATCTGCACCAGCAACATATGGTAACTGCTGTAGGCAAGATGAAGTGCTGCACTCGTACTGTCAATATACACAATATATACAGTGGTGCCCCACAAAACGAATGCCTCGCAAGACAAAAAACTCGCTAGACGAAAGGGTTTTCCATTTTTTGAGCTGCTTCACAAGACGAATTTCCCTATGGGCTTGCTTCGCAAGACGAAAAACGAAAACGTCTTGCAAGTTTGTTTCCTTTTTCTTAACACCGTTAATACAGTTGCGACTTGACTTCGAGGAGCAACTCATAGAACGCGGTGTGGTAGCCTTTGTTGAGGTTTTTGAAGACTTTGGTGATTTTTGAAGCTTTTCCACAACTTCTTTTAAACTTTTAAAACTTTTTGGGGGTTTTGGATTTTGGGTTGGGGTGTTTGGAATTCAAGGACTTGGTGTTGGGGAGGGGTTTGCAAGAATCTGGAAGCTTGTGTGTTTTTTTCTCTGCATTTTTATGATTTTCTGTGACCACTGGGCCACTCTGCTGTTTTTTTAAAAAAATTCTGGATTTGAATTTCTGTGTGGTGGGTGGCTGGGGGAACAGTTGGGGAGGGGTTTGCAAGAATCTGGAAGCTTGTGTGGTTTTTTTCTGCATTTTTATGATTTTCTGTGACCATTGGGCCACTCTGCTGTTTTTTTAAAAAAATTCTGGATTTGAATTTCTGTGTGGTGGGTGGCTGGGGGAACAGTTGAGGAGGGGTTCTTCAGCAAGAAGCAAAGAGTGGAAGAGGAACCTTCTTCGAGTTGTCCCAGAGTCTTAGAAAATGTACTGTACACTTTGTTGATTTTTAAATGTTTTTCTGTCATGTTTAGAAACTTAATTTATTGTTCCTTCAATTTTTGAAATGCTCTTTACAGTATGTGTGACTTTAAAGAGCACTTAATAAACTCTTGTTGTACCAAATTTGGCTTTGTTTGGACTTTTTTTGACCATAGGAACGCATTAATTGAATTTCAATGCATTCCTATGGGATTTCGTGCTTCGCAAGACGAAAAATTCGCTAGACGAAAAAACTTGCGGAACGAATTAATTTCGTCTTGCGAGGCACCACTGTACTCCATTTCTCCCATTACAAGAACAACAAAAAACCTCACATCTGAATAGAATCTGTGAATTCTACTTCAGTTGTACCTGGCCATTCAATATCCAAAGAGGTTAGTGCCCTCCTACCTGAATTACATTATGAGCTCCACTTACTGTTCTGTGTATGCTGATTTAGCCTTTAAGGTGCTCACCCTGAGGTGATGCCTTTCTGCCTTTCCATCAGGAAGTATTGATATTGCCACTGTTTTCCAATGTCCCTCCCTGCCTGCTTCCTATATATTTCCAGTCTTAAGAAGTTCTGAGCCCTAGGGTGAGTCTATATAGTCATTTCTATCAGGGACAAAAATCACCCTGTGGCAATTTGTCCTTATCAATCTCAGATTTTAGGTAATAGGAATACTTGTGGCCTCTTTCTTGTTTAACTTTCAGTGGGGTGGGCTGTGTTCTGTTCTGTGTTAGACCTGCCTTTTTATATATATTGTGGGGTTGTTTTTTAGCTTTAAGTTTTGTTCTGGTTTTTTATACTTGGATTTAATGTTTGTATCATTTTGTAAGTCACTGTGGGTCACTTTTATATCTATATCTCTGTATGTAAAAAAAATGCCTGTTGAAACTTCATTTCTGGGTTGCCATATTCTATCAGATGACTCTGGACTGGCCCTTGAGGCAAAAGGAAACAGTTTCATTTGTGTTACAGGCAGTCCTTTGACCCCACCTGCTTCCTTTGAAAGGACACCTGGATTATATCCAAAGGTAGGTTTAATTTAGCAAAAAGCCCTTCCATGAGCAAGTTGGGGGCACCTAATTTTCACCAGTCTTTCCCCCCCCAATACTGCAGCCCCATCCCATTCTGTTCCAGAGGGTCTCCCAATTCTCAGGAGCAGCATTTTGGGAAGGAAGCAGGGCTTTGGCAGGTTGGAGGGGATGGCAAAAATCAGGTGTGCCAAACTGCACAGCTGGCAGCCCTTTCTTTTGAAAACATCTGTCTTCAGCACATGTGGAAACTTTGCATTGGAAAGATCTCTAATTACATGCAGCAAGCTTTGATGTTGACCCCTTGCATTTTTGGGTGATATGGGGAAATATCCAATATAGGGGAGGACGACACCCAGTAATAATAATAAACATAAATGAAGGAACACAAATGAAGAAAAGAAAAGAGAAAAGGCAAAGAAAGAAAGAAACAGACATAGCAGGGTAGTGAAGCACCTCTGGGAAATTTATGGGTAGTGGTGAAATTAAGAGAGTCAGAAAATTATTGCTAGCCTAGGAACAGGAAGGGATGGTAGGAGGTGCACCACTTACCAGTTGTCTGGAAGTTTAATGCCACCATTTGACAGCCAACATTCCAGAACATCTGAGGCATGTAGTTAGAAGAATCCATCCGGGTGCCCTTGGGATAAATTCGGCTCATCTGCCTCTTGTTGTAGCTGAATTTTCCTAATAGGAGTCCCATCTCCGAAGTTTATTGCAGTATATATGCCCTTGGCAGTTTTGCTCTTACAGGGTTCCCAGTATGAGCTTTTCATGGAGCTGTCCAGGGTGCTGCCTATATTCTGACTCTTCCCTTGCTTCACCAGTCTGGAGTTTTTATTTACCTTGACTTGCCTGGCTCTTGTTTGGTGGAACATGAAACTTTGCTGTGGCCCTGCACTCCCCGCCCCTCACATTGCTGTGGCCAGCACTTGGAAGAGAACACTACACAGCTAAAATGTTTTTAAAGGTTTACTAAAGTTTAATATCACAGTGCTGCAAAGCTAAAATCGACTTCTGTGTGAATCGTATAGAAATCAATAGGTACACCTTATATATAATAGTTCTAAGGAATACCCATTTTGGGAACTGGCCTTGAGTCATGGAAGGTAGCAGTAGATTTTATCCAATGAAGTTTTCCTGTTCATGCAAGAACTTCCACTTGTGTGAACAGAGCGTCCCCTTTTCCTCCCCAGTGCATTCTCAGATCTGTTCTGGGGTTTCCCTAAATTCTGCAGAGCAAATAGTGGGTGGGTGGGTGGGTATGGGTGTGGGTTTGCAGGGCCACACAGGGAGAGGATAGAGATATGTTCAGTTTCATAGTAAGTCCTTGTGCAAACAGGACAACTTTGTTGGATACAACCTTTTGTTTCCAGACAGTAATATTATGATTGGCTGCATGTGACATGACCTAGAACAAACTTTTAAATATGTGAATAGGTGCACTTGCAGGTGCACCAAAGAAAAAAGAAAAAGGATACTCTACAAACTGGATGGGCGATTTGGTCAGCAGGTCATAAGCCTTCATCTCAGTGAAGGAGGAAACGACATAACTCCGGTTCTTCTCTGGAAGAACAAGCAAGGTAAACATAAATCACGCCCAATGCTCCAGATCCTCCTATTCTACCATTTTTTCTTCACTATCAGCCCCTTGCTATCCACAAATAAAGACACTGTCTATGCATGATCCTCTGACGCAGAGAAGTAAAAAATATCAAGTTTGATTTGGGTTTTGATGGAGGTTGATTTGAGGACCTTTCTCTGCATGATAGTTTCCCAAGGGAGTCGCTTAAGCGGCATTGAAGCCCTCATACAGTATCACCTGAGCAAGTGTTTTGGTTGTGGAAGTAATCAGTAATCAACTGCTAATCAAATCTGTATGTAAACAGCATTTCTTGCAAGAAGGACTATTGGCACATTTTTGAAACCTAGAGGGATGGTGCCCATAATTCCACTGCAAAGTGTTCCACGGTGTCCCTTATACACCCGTCCATGACATTTTTTAATTTTTACTTTCTCTTTTTCTTCCTGCATTTAACCTGTCCACCTATCTGCCCTAGTTCAGGAGGCCTTGCCACATGTGTGGCTTCTGCAATAGCATGACAGTAGTTCTCTGCTTATGTTAAGGTGAGACCACCTGCATTGCTTTGCTATGTTTGAAGATGGGAATGGCTACTCTAGATTCAGGAAAGGGGCAGAAGGCTTAGAAGTAATTGGTATAAAGGATCTGGAGCTGCTGGTCCTTTTTTGGAATAGAATCAGCTATTGTTGCCTAATATTTTTAGAAGAAGAAGCTTATTTTATAGTAAGTGCATAATCTTTATTAGTCCTTTGTTCCATTTCCAGACTTCTTTTCCAGGAGTTTTATGTAGCATAGAGCAGTCCGCAATTTTATTTAGTAAAAATATGAGGATTCAGAAGCCCCCAGCTTTTTGTCTGACACTAAATCAGTTGGGAATCAAAACTTGGAGGGGGGGAAGCTCTGCATTTCATCAGGCTTCCCATCAGTTCCATAAATCCTTTCAAGGACACTCAATACTTCACCCAAGCTCATGAATCTTTTGATATGCTTTGGCAGATGTAATGAAAACATGGCTCATGATATATGGTTTCAAGTATGCAATCTTCTCCCTTTCAGTTCTCAATTACATTGGGGCAGATACCAGAGTAACTCCAGGTGCAGGGGAATTTTTCTGGGTTTACACAGCCATACTGAAGAAAAGCATCTGATTCAGGGGCTGCAAGCCAGGAACACTTATCTACAGGTCAGTCTACTTCTGCAACTCTAGCCTCCTAATAACCTCTATAAAAGGGAAGTAAGAATAATCTGTTAGGAGGCTGGTTAGTGCTGCATGACTGTGCTCCAAACCTGATGCATTTTCTACTGCACCTTGTCTTGCTCTGCCCTAAATCCATGCCTGTTCTGAATTTCACCTGGTCTACTTGCCCTTCCCCCTCTAGATACACCACCTTTGTCCAGTCTTAAGAAAACTGCATTTTCTTAAAATAAACCCCCTAACAACTAGTTGGTTTTGTTTTAAGGAAATACAGTTTTGTGAAGTAGGTAATTTGGAGCACAGAATCAGCAAGAGGGAGGTATTTAACACCTTTCTTGGGCTGCCACCTTCTCTGCTCCACACCACCTTCGGAAGACTTCTTTTCTCTACACAGGATTCCAAAAGCATGTAATTTGTTGTTCAACCTTTACAGTGGAGCCAACAGATGACACCCAAATGCATGCAGATAGAGTATATAGCTCTAAATACCTGAAAACATGACATTCAATAGGACAGAGACAATAAATCTTTGCTTACGTGCTGAGTTTTCAAAGCATTCGAATTTGATGGGCTGGATGTAATTAACCAGGCTGGACATTTCTTCATATGCTGTCACTTCTAGACCTGCAGTACCCTAAGCAAAATTAGGACAGTTAGAGGAAAAGGCATATCATACAAACAGACAGACAAAATGACAAAGCCCAGTGGCAGACAGAGCCCTAAACAGAATCAGAAAGTAGTGGGTAGAACTCAGAAGAACAGTCAATGAGAACCACATATCTTTTTCCTTGAGTATAGTTGGCTTTGATCCAGCTGGAGAAGCACAGATATGCAGAAGCAAGCTATCTCCTTTGTGCGTCTCTCTAGTCGGATGAGGACCGGAGTGCACAAATGGGTGGGGGTGTGTGCAGCTGCTCCCCTGCCTCAGCAGTATTGCTAGGACAGGGACTTCCGAATTGGCCCATAGAGAACAGGGGGTGGGGAATGTGTAGACTTCCAGGCAGCACGATGTCTTGGACCAGTCCTGGACAGGTGGAAAGCTCAATTCTACCAAACAGCAGGAAAGTAGGAAGATTTTTTAAAAAACAAAAAAATGTTACTTTTCAAGAGTTCTTTAAACTAAGAGCAATAATTGTACCTCATCAGATTGCATCTTTTTAATCTCCTCTTCATCCAGGTTTCCCATGTCTTCCTCTACTTCAGACACTTCTTCAGTCACCTCACCTGACTTTACTGATAAATCAAAACAGAAATTAGTTCATTTGTGATGACTGCAACCAGGAGTACCAACTTGGCCCCGTGACCGTGGGTGCCTAGGGCCATGTGTGCGATGCAGCGTGCATGGCCCTGGCACTGAAATTTGTAGGTGTCTAGCCCCTTTATGGGGAATTTTATGGGTGCTCAGGCACCCAGTGCCCCATGGAGTTACCACCGATGACTGCAACCAAGATCTGCCAACTATTTGTCTAAAATCTTCTTTAGGATCTGAAATTCCTTCAGACTGCAATTTCCATCCTTCCCAATCCATCTACCAAATCTGGAGGTCTACAGGCTCACCTTTAAGTGAGAACTGAATCAGATTTCCTCTTCCTCATACCTACTTTGGAGACGCTTTTGAAGTCACTGATAAAGCCACTCATTCTTATAAGTGAAATTCTGTCCTAAAATGGCAGTGTTGCCCTCTGTTTCCACATCAAATAATTGTGCTTATGTCAGAGCCTTAAAAATTGATTCCAGGCTTATCTGAATTCCCACCCCCCTCCCCAAGTAAGGCCCATCCCTTGTCATAATGTACCCTGTATATGATGAAGTGGACTCTAGTCCATGAAAGCTTATGCAGTAATAACATTTGTTAGCCTGTAAGGTGTCACAACACTGTTGCTCTTGCTACGAAAGATTAACAGGGCTATCCCTATGGAATATACTACCTATGCTATCCTTGTCTACTGGTGTGGGCTGATCAGTCATGACATCCTCCAGACTTCTTGCTTTCTTCAGAGTCTCTTGGTTCTCCCCAGGTATGAACTGATTCTTCTTGTTCTTAATCAAGATTTTCCCCATGAGATCCTGTGGGCTTGGCAGTGGGACTCCTGGTTTTAACTGCCCGAAAGATAAGAAAAAGGTTAGCATTCATGCAAAGTTTAGGTTTTTGCATCACTCCTCTAGTGAAGATGTAGCACAAACTGCCAGGGCAGCTTCAGGCCAAGCTAACACCTGCTTGCACGATAACTTCATCCCATGTAGCAATTTGGCATCCCTAGTCACTTACTGGAAATTTTTCAAGTGGCTCTGTCAGCAGCATGTCCCCAAATATTGTTCTACAGTACTCAGCCATCTTAGCCTGCTGCTTCGGCCTGTAAGAAAATATAGGTATAAAACACACACATGTCAAGCCTGAAGACTGGCAACTTCCCTGCTTCATACTCCCAAATCCCCATCTGTCTCTTAGCATATGCATGGTTTGCCCAAGCTTAGTTGAATTATGGTGCTGGAGGAGACTCTTGAGAGTCCCATGGACTGCAAGAAGATCAAACCTATCCATTCTTAAGGAAATCAGCCCTGAGTGCTCACTTGGAAGGACAGATCATGAAGCTGAGGCTCCAATACTTTGGCCACCTCATGAGAAGAGAAGACTCCATGGAAAAGACCCTGATGTTGGGAAAGATGGAGGGCACAAGGAGAAGGGGGCGACAGAGGACGAGATGGTTGGACAGTGTTCTCGAAGCTACAAACATGAGTTTGACCAAACTGTGGGAGGCAGTGGAAGACAGGAGTGCCTGGCGTGCTCTGGTCCATGGGGTCACGAAGAGTCGGACACGACTAAACGACTAAACAACAACTGTCCCATGCAAATTAAAATGTTGCCGCTCTCTGCCATGCTTGTGCCATTGTATCCTAATAACTTCTGAGAAGTAAGTTTGATTGAGTTGAAAGGGGCTGACTCCCAGGTAAGTGGGTTCTAACAGTGCAGCAACATTCTTTTACCTTATTCTGACTAGACACATTTCTTACCCACCCCTCTACCCTTTGTCCAGAATGCAATCTCAGCTTTTTCTCTAATCAGCAGACACTTAATACTCACGAGTCCACATGGTTCTCAAAGGACAGGATCACTGGATAAGGGGAGGTTTTGAAAGCGCTTTCTGCAATAGCCTCAATTGCATCCTGCATAAGACATGAGGCAAATGAGAAAAAGATATTGGTACTTTGCAAACCAAGGAACTCCTTGTTCTTGGTAGTTATCCAGCTTTCAGAATGGCATCAGTCATTCCAGTATGAACCTTATGATATATCCAAAGCTTTTTAAAGGGCCTCCCGTTTCTATAACCATATACAGTGAACAGAGGTGCTGGAACTCACCATGAGCACCTCCCTCCATGGTCCATATGTAGATATCATAGCAAATTGATAGAGGGGACAGAGGGATTCTGCATTCATTGGATATCTGCATAGGGCCTCTGCATATACAACAGCATTCCCACGTGGCTTGTGATCTCAGAAAGAGAGCCTTTTGTGTGTATTGCTACATGCATGTGCAGTTGTATGCATCCTGCTGAACACATGATGGTCAGGAGCAGAGCCAGCATCCCACTGAGAGTTTGCCACACGTGTTCGTTATGATATGATATGTGGCTTATGTCATACAGTGTCAATGTAACTCCGGATCATTTTCCAGGTTTGTTAACTGATATTAACCCAGAGTTCCTCAGTTCAGAAGTAACAGGGAATTCTGGTTTAATACATGCCAGAATTGCCACACTGAACTAAGTGTGCAACAGGAGAAGGAGGAGTGAGCGAGCAAGCGAGCGAGAAGCACTCAGACCCTTGTTCCTGTCTTCTGCTTTATGAAGCCTCAAGCTATCATCTGTTGAGGCCTATAGGAAAAGATTGCATTTATTCATTTTATCATCTTAGGCTGTAGATTGTACAGTGGTACCTCTGGTTATAAACTTAATTAGTTCCGGAGGTCCATTCTTAACCTTGAACCGTTCTTAACCTGAGGTACCACTTTAGCTAATGGGGCCTCCCCCTGCTGCTGCGCTGCCTCCGCACAATTTCTGTTCTCATCCTGAGGTAAAGTTCCTAACCCGAGGTTCTACTTCCAGGTTAGCGGAGTCTGTAACCCAAAGTGTTTGTAACCTGAGGTGTGTGTAACCCAAGGTACCACTGTAATTTGTAAGTCCCTTGGGGACAGAGGCCATATCTGTGTTCTGTACACTGCAAAACCCACTGTTGATACTAAAAATTGTTGACAAGTAATTGAAATACTTTTGCTGTCATCTGTCGAGTTTAAATTCAACCTGATTTGAATGGCTGTCTTAGAGAGCAGTGATTTGTCTTTATAGAGCATAGTAAAGTTTTAAATTACCGGTACGCTAGATGGCAGTTCATTACTTACTTTCCCCTTATATTTGGATGATGAGACTATTTCAATTTTTATTCATTCTTTTAAGTCCAGGTGCAGCAGCATTCTTGTCACATTTCGGTTTGATGGTTCTATCCCTCATGATCTCCTGGTACTAAGGGGGAAACCACACGTTACACTGCAGCTGCATGCAGTAAAGCCATAAGGGCCTGCAGCAAAGTGCCCTCAGAAGTGGGAGCTGGCTCTGGAGAAGTGATGGACAAAAACTATCCATCACCTTCCTCATTTAAAGAAAATGCAACACCTGAGGGCACTTGCAAAGGAGACAGGGCCTTTCAGGTCTTCATTATATGGAGCTGCAGAGTAACATGTAGTTTGTATGTAGTTTGTGTCTATCATCTCTCTCTCTCTCTCTCTCTCTCTCTCTCTCTCTCATCTATCTATCAAGAACTTTGCTAGCCAAGTCCTAATCTTTTTTCCTCACATAATTTCTTATTTATGACAGAGAGAGAGATGGGGGAAGTGCAATTGTATACTGTGCTGTTTTATGACTTCTTTGTGGAAGCTGAGCCTTGATATGCAGCGTTAGTACTAAGGTTCAACATGGCCTGGGACTTGATATTACCTCTTGCTAAGCAACTGTTCCTGATTGAACAAGCAGCAGAGAACTAGGAGGAGGATGTTATGGTGCCTCTGTACTTAATCTGCATTTCAAAGGAAAGTGCTGCAGGTTGAAAGCAGGAGAGTGTCACCTCCCCCACCTACAACTATTTTGGAGAGGAAGGCAGCCATAGGAAGAGGGGAGGAAACATACATTACTTAAGCTATAATGAAAGGTGCATGCTGTGTTAATGGCCTGTAATTCCTTTGCAAGGTTCATTGTTGTGGTGCAGAGCAATCCTTCCATGTAATTATAGCTCTTGTGAAGCACAATAGCACTCTGTTTGTTTTGCAGATTGGGTGGTGCAGTGTAAAGGGGACCGTGATGTCATAAGATCTGGAATGTGAAATTATGAACACCAAAACCACAAGCATAATAGAGAAGCTAATCATTAAAGTAGGAGAAGGGGAAACGGCCTTTCAACTTTGCTCATTCCCTGCTGATGCAATTACTGTTGGAGGTACTAGTCCACTATAATCTAGCTGGATATGCCTGCCGGAACAGATATGCTTTGCGCACTTTTGCATCCAGAAAAAAGGCTTTTCAAGGTCTTCAAAAAGCTCGGGAGAGAAAAAATGCAGGTAGACATCAGGACTCTGGGTCACATAGCAGACATTGAGCAGATAGTTGGGTCACTAATGATGTATATGTTCTAAGTACTAAACTTGCATATGTAAGACCAGGCATAGGCAAACTCAGCCCTCCAGATGTTTTGGGACTACAGTTCCCATCATCCCTGACCACTGGTCCTGTTAGCTAGGGATGATGGGAGTTGTAGTCCCAAAACATCTGGAGGGCCAAGTTTGCCTATGCCTGCATAAGACCCAGGTTTTCAGTTTGCTATATTGGTGTATCTTTGGTGTTAAATTAAAACAATTCCGCTTTGTAAGACATGCCCCATTTTACCAGCAAAAAAAAGGAAGTAAATTCATAACTGTAAGCCACAAAGAAAATACATTTTACTGTATTTTATTTGATGTCAGATGGCATAGATGAGTAGAAGCTGACTACGCAAGAAGGAATAGCTCTTACACTGATAAATGAAAATGGGGGCTGGGTGTGTGTGAACAAACCAATAAAGCAATCTGAAAATATGGACGCTTTACATTGCAAAGAGCCCTAATGTCTGGCTAAGGTTGTTAGCACATTCTTTGTACTCAGTCTAGGCCTTAGTATAGAGCAGGGGTAGGCAACCTAAGGCCCGTGGGCCTGATGCGGCCCAGTCGCCTTCTTAATCTGGCCCGTGGACGGTCCAGGAATCAGTGTATTTTTACATGAGTAGAATGTGTCCTTTTATTTAAAATGCATCTCTGGGTTATTTGTGGGGCATAGGAATACTCATCAGAGTCCCTGTTCTGGGTTCTCCCACTGCCTGAGGTAGATACACTGAGTGGCTATCAGGTAGAGGCTTCTCAGTGGTGGTGGACTGATTTTTTTAATGTCCTTGCCAGGTACTCACCCAGGGGCGTATGAAGGGGGGGCAGAGGGGGAGCTGCCCCAGGCACCACTCTGGGGGGTGACAAGATGGCCTGCTGCCCCCCCCCCCAGCTGCAGAGGGCGTGTGTGCAGTTAGTATGGGCGCTGCTCGCGTGGCATCCATACAGGCTGCCGTTCTCGTGCGCTGTCCGTATGGGCGTTGGTATGGGCTGCCTCTCACACAGCGACCGTATGGGCTGCCGCGCATGCGCACACTGTACGGACGTCATGCGTGTGCCGCCAGGTCTCACTCCGGGTGTTGGAGAGGGTTTCTCTGCCACTACACTCACCTGGAATCAACTCTGATGTCATTTTGGCACCAGGCAAAGAATATTTATTTTCACAGATTTTATCCGCTTTATCTGACTAGGTTTGTTATGTTTTTCTGTTTCTTCTATGAATGTTGATGTTTTCAGCATTTTTTAAAATTTGCGTTTTGAAATTTTGTGGAATCTCTAAAAACAAAAGTAAAAAAACCCAAAACCATCTAAAGATAGCTGTACCTTGAACAATATTTCTGTTGTCATGGTGAATCCATGGGTGATAATAGGCTCCTCATCTGGAGGACGCCCCTTCCAGCAATCAAGTTCCACACAGCGGCAGCCAGCCAATAGGGTCTGCCGATACATTTCGGGAGAGGAGATTCCAGAAAATTGTCCAGCTGCAAAAAAAGGGGGGGAGAGGAGGAAAAATAAGCCTGTCATCATCGTCTATGCAGCCACATCTTTTGAATGAAGAGAAGGGAAACTCATTTCTGTTACACAAATGTTTAAAACTTTTATTTCTTTTTGAAGAATTACTTGTGACTTCTCCATTTCCAAAAGTTCAGAAAACTTTAATTCACCTATGACATGATTAAAATTATAAATATTGCTTACACACACACAATGCTATATAATTGTGGGTCGTATTGAAAATTGTTATATTTTTAAAACCCTTTAAAAAAAAAGAATTGTTATATAACTTATTTCAGAATAGGTAGACAGAAGAAGACATGTGGACTGTAGCAAAACAAAAATAACAATAAGCAGAGCATATACGTAAAAGGAACATGAAACAATATCTACACATCAAGCCAGTGTCATACATATAAATAAAGATAAAAGGTCCAGTCGTGACCGACTCTGGGGTTGCGGCGCTCATCTCGCTTTATTGGCCAAGGGAGCCAGCATACAGCTTCCGGTTCCTGTGGCCAGCATGACTAAGTCGCTTCTGGCGAACCAGAGCAGCGCACGGAAATGCCGTTTACCTTCCCGCCGGAGCGGCACCTGTTTATCTACTTGCACTGCGTGCTTTTGAACTGCTAGGTTGGCAGGAGCAGGGACCAAGCAACGGGAGCTCACCCCGTCACGGGGATTTGAACAGCCAACCTTCTGATCGGCAAGTCCTAGTTTCTGTGGTTTAACCCACAGTGCCACCCGTGTCCCATAAATAAAGATAGTCATGGACAATTCTACTATAAATTTTGGACAATAGTTTGTCCATCTGTTCTCTATTTGTTTGGACACCTTTCAAAATATCATCACCAATCTGGGCACAAGGGTTGCTGAGGTGGCGTCAGTGGTCTTCATCTACATCTGGATGCCGGGTGCCATTTTGAATCAAGATGGCAGACCAAAATGTGATTTTGACATGACTTTACCTGGTTTTTGGCACAGGGTCTGCCACTTCATTAACAAACTTGACATGAGGGTTCCTAAGGTAGGGGCAGCCATCTTCATCAGTGTTTGGATGCTGAATGCCATTTTGATTCAAGATGGCGGACCAAAACATGACTTTGCCTGATTTCTGGTGTGATAGGTCCATTCACAAATTTAAAAATTGTTTAAAATTTTTAATATTTTTTGGTTTCTACAAATTCCCAGGCATTGCCAGGCATTCCCTGCTAGTGATAAATAAGTCATGGCCTGATGAACAGTTTTCATAATGAAAGTAAGCTACAAAGCTAAGTCAGGGGTCAGTAGCTACCCTCTTGCAATACAACAGCTAGTGGAAATGGACACATCTCCTCATGGCTGCATACCTGTTAGGTAGGTGTTGTGGGACGAGTTGATGAAGTAGTGAGAGAGTGGCTGGCTCATATCTTGGTGCAGCAAGAGTTTGTCCTGTGATACTATACTGTTTTCAGGACCACACAGGAACCAAACCATTCCTTCTGGAGACAGCTGCCCTGCAAGATAATTTTTAAAATGTTACTATTGCTGGTAACAAAATACAAGGGCCTGGAGGAACTGAGTTTGCATATTCCTGCCCATCTAAGCAATGAGTGATTGATTTCAGTGGGGCCACTCTGAGTATTATTTAGTCAGATACACCCAATGATTTTAAGCTGATGTAGGCCCAGGCTACTGAAAGATTTCCATGTAATAAACAGATTCCTCCTCTTCTCCCAATGACTTTGCACCACCCATGACTCCTCATCCTCCGCTACCACCTCCTGCCACCATCACCAATAAAAAGGAGGCCAAAATGGAGGCCAGTGGTGAGTGGGATAAGGCGAGGCGGAGGTGGCGCCAGAGGAGGAGGCAGGGAAGGAGCTCCTCAGGGACCCAGATCTGCTGTCCCTCCCAGCTGTCCTGAGCCTGCTGCCCTGAAGCAACTGCCTCACTGAGCCTTGTGGGCAGGCCATCCCTGGCGGCCTTAAAAGTGGACCTCTATGACCATCTCTATCTGGTTTTCATTTGCAATGTTTTATTTTGAGCTTTTGTAATGTTACATTTGATGTTTTAAGAATGGTTGTAATCCATTTAGGGGGTTTTGCCCTGGAATTGTAGTGATATAGAAATAATAATAACAACAATATTACGATACATACTTCTGCTGATGGAAAAAATAAACTCACCTCTTTGAATATTCATCCCACTGGGCTCATACTTGTCTATGAGACCCTGTACCTGTTGTGGCTTGGCAGGGGGGAAAAGCATGTCATTGAGGTGAGAATCTCGCTGTTTCTTGTTAATGAATTTTGTCAAGTGGTCTTTGGTCATGTACGGCTTGGCTTTCGAATGGCTAAGCAGAGATAATGGAAAAAGGACAAAGAGAGAGTGGTGTCTTTAGATGTTCTGGAAAATCCCTCTTAGCAGGGAGACAACTTTTCCTACACTTATTTGTTGTTTTGACATGACTAGTTCCTTCTTACCCTTGCCCTGTCTGATACTTTACATTTGGTATCAGCAGTACTACAAGATGTGGGGGGACTGGGGGATTTATCATGCTAAAACAGTCATCCAATAGCATGAAGTGGGTGCTGGAGAAATATGCACTGCAATGTTGGTGTAAGTAGAAGTTATGGGGATAATTAGGCATTATAGTTAGAGATGGCAACAGCATGCTCACATTTAGTCTGACCGTAAGCACACTTAATTCTGTACTGGATAGTACAGTATAATTCTGTACTGGATAGTACAGGTGGGAGGAATAGGAATAATCTTGCTACCCTTCACCACTTTTTCATTTAAAAAGTAACAGTGCTGTCAATCTAGCAATCTGCAAAATTCCAGCTGGTTCTCACAGCCTCCCTTTGCCTGTGCAGTATCCCTTCTCTCCCACACATGCTGGCTGCTACATAATGGAGGCTTACTGTGAGGTAAATATCTCGTCGATCTCTGGGCGAGGACATAGATTCATCAGGAACGTTTTGTACACAGCTTCAGGGAAGTCCTCTGGATTGATGCCGTCATTCTGGAAGCAGAACAGCAATTCTTGATGACTGTTATCAACTGTTTTGTGGACTTCATTTCCAAAATGAAGGGGCCCAAAGCCTACCCTGGAAGTTGGGCCCTCTGTCCTGGATGCCCTTCCCTGCCCAGGCCCAGATACACATGCTTTAAATGTATTTCTACCTCCACTATCACTTGGTTTCAGGGTATCTATGTGGGGTTTTGCTGTTGTTCATTTGGTTGTTTGTGAGTCATTTTGGTTTGTCTTGGCAAGATAAAGCAACTAACAAATTTAATAAATAATAATAAAAGTGTGCCAGGTGCACATCATTCAGTAGTAAAGAATAAATACACTGTACTCAGCTCTACATGCATTCATACACATTCTTGTTTTCATTTTGTGTGTGTGTGTGTGTGTGTGTGTGTGTGTGTGTACTCTAGGACTGAGACCTCTCACTGAACACAAATACCTTCTGAGGTTGAGCTAAGAGATTCCAAGGCTGAGACAAACCAAGAGGGATCTATTGAGTTGGACATTGGTAAATTCTGTCTTCACAGTTCCTGGGATCCAAATAATCATCAGACACACACACCCTCCACACACACAGCTAGTTAAATACAAAGATACATTTAACACTATGTGCATTTTAGCTCTAAATAGGCAGTGTTGTACTGTGGCACACTGCATGCTGTACAGTAATGCAGAAAACAGACTTTTTTTTACAGCTGTTTTACTGCTGTGTTAGCAATGGGCATCTATACTTCATAGAATTAAACTGGTTTAACTGCCATTCAGTTTCCTCAAGGAACCTGGGAAGTTAGGCACCTGGAACAGAACTTTCCAACCTACAATTCCCAAAAGTCTTTGGAAGAAGACATAAGCTGGTATAAAATTAATATAAATTTGTTGGGCAGACATGTTTGTTGACTATGAGGCCTGGGCTATGGAGAATATACTTCTTACCTTGCCCTTTGGAAGATGGCAAGCACTTAATGCTGCTTCTACCCTTTTTCTGTCTGCAGGAAATGCTTGAAAAATACTGAAAGAGAAAGAAAAGGGTGAGTGAGAGTGACCGTTATTGGGGAAGAGGTATTTGGCAAAACCTCCAGTGGGAAAGGCAGTCCATATAGAGAAAATGGCAAATTGCCCAACATGTAGGCCATTAGTTGTCTCCATGAACTAGTTCAGCATAGGCTCCAACTATACAACCAGAACTATAAGCAATTGTTGTTGTTGTTTAGTCGTTTAGTCGTGTCCGACTCTTCGTGACCCCGTGGACCAGAGCACGCCAGGCACTCCTGTCTTTCACTGCCTCCCACAGTTTGGTCAAACTTATGCTGGTAGCTTCGAGAACACTGTCCAACCATCTCGTCCTCTGTCGTCCCCTTCTCCTTGTGCCCTCCATCTTTCCCAACATCAGGGTCTTTTCTCTTCTCTTCTCATGAGGTGGCCAAAGTATTGGCGCCTCAGCTTCAGGATCTGTCCTTCCAGTGAGCACTCAGGGCTGATTTCCTTCAGAATGGATAGGTTTGATCTTCTTGCAGTCCATGGGACTCTCAAGAGTCTCCTCCAGCACCATAATTCAAAAACTATAAGCAATAGTTATCTGATATTTCCTTCCCCTTTTCTTTTAGGAGTAACTGTGACTGAGAAAAGACAAGGAGTTCGTGTTATCCTTTTTTATTTTCTGGCAGAGTGAGAGTTGTCTCACTTAAGAGACAAAGTGTCACACCTCTCAGCAGTTCTTTGTTTCTGGCAATCTGGCATCTGGCAATGAAAGTGTTTCTGAGGACTCCATAAATTCAGGAGCCTACTCTTCTTTTCTATGTTTGCTTTTTCTTGCCAATCTGATGTTGAATTGTGCCAAGTTATGTTCCTCTGCAGATGGATGAAATGGCAACCTGTCTTCTGCTATCCTTATTATTGTTGTTGTTGGATGATGATGATTTAATATTTTAAAATTGTTATTCTTATAATTTTTCCACAAGTGAGGAAGCCAGGGAGAGTGAGTCTTCCTAGGATTGGAAGCCAGGGGGATGAAGTTGTTCAAGGCTTGGGCGGTTTCAAATTTTCATTCAGCTATGAAATTCAGTGGGTGACCTTAAGCTAGGCACATTCTCTCAGCCTGATGTGCACCACACAATACATTTAAAGCACACAACTTCCCCCAAAGAATCCTGGGAACTGTAGTTTTTTAAAAGGGTGCTGTAGCTCTGTTAGGGATAAACTACAGTTCCTGGTATTCTTTAGGGGAAGCCATGAGCTTTAAATGTGCTTTAAAAGTATGGTATGGATGTGACCTCACAGGCTTGCTGTGAGGATATACTTAGGGTAGGGGAAACTGTTATGCCCCCTTAAGGTCATTGAAGGAAAGGCAGAGTAAAAATGCAATAAACAGATAAACCTGGTTTCACAACATATAGCGAGTGCTGTAGAACAGCTTGATTTGTCCTGGGATTTGAAACCTGGTCAATTTTACCTCAGCCCTCTTAACTGTATAGCAGACTGGACCTCTCTAAGCCTCCCCTCCCAAAAGAACCCCTGGGCAGCCATTTGTCCAAGAAGATCCCTCGATAGTGCAGTCATTCAAGTTTGTCACACACCATCATTAGTCAAAAGAAGCACAATGCACATGCCATACTCACTTCCTAACAGGAATTTTCCCCTCACTATTCAGTTGCAGTTTCAGCTTCACCAGTCTGTGGAAACATTCAAAATAGACAATCCTTGGCTAAGAGAAAAAAAATGGAACAAGGGAAGTATGGTAGCCATAACAATAGGGAAAAGTAAGATAACCGTAAGAAAAGCCTGAGGTGAATTATTGTTAGATTTAAAGCTGAAATTTGATTCCACGTTGATTGGAAAAGTTATTAAATTCCACAGACTCGTTGCATTTGCAATCACAGGGAATCGTGAAGTGAATTGAAACTGAGATTTGGGCATCTTGTTTACTGACATCCCAAGCTAAACTCAAAGGCAACAATATTTCATATTGAGATGATTAATACAAGTCAGTGGAACTTGCCAGAGAATTAGCATCATGATGCTAAAAAGAATCTTCTGTTGATATCATACTTAAGCTTTCTGGATTGAATTGTTTATAGTACATTCCTCTCATCTCAGCACATGACTAGTTTCATGTCATCAAAATACAAAAGAAGTGTAACAGTTGGAATGATACACGCTTGCAGTGTATCATCACCTGATCAGGTCCTAGCTAGCCACGTCCTGTTTTGGGACACTATATGACATAAGGGACTGAAACAGGACATTCAACTCTCTCTCCCAGTTTTCCTTTTTCCAGCTGACATCCAGTATTCCATAGCTCTGTCCTCACTGGGCTGGCTTTTGGGGGGGGGGGAGGCACTGACACCTTACTTTTAAACTGTTGTTTTGTACTTTGCAAACTTGAGAGTTTCCATAAGCACCCCAAGGTTTATCCCACGCTTTCTGTTGGCACTCAACACTTTAGCATGCTATTTGAAGGAATAGCAGAAAACACTTGGTAGTATGAAGTTATTTGATAACTACTTACATTCTCTCCAGGAAGGAATAGCGGGAAGCATTATATACAAAGGGGTTCCTAGAAATGACCATGATATCATCTGCCCAAGCCTGAAAAAACAAGATGTGTGTACACATGGAAAGACTGGAAAATGAACTGTGCAACACCCTCACTTCCAGTGCCGCTGAGCAAGCGTGTTATGGCCAAGTTCCACATGGAACTTGTTCATTCTCTGCCCTTGTTATCCTTTCTAAAGTGATGCCCTCCAGCTAGACAGCCATTGAAATAAATGATATTTAGTTTCTGGTATATAAGCCTTAAATCAGGATTTTAGTGGAACAAATTATTCTTTTCCCTGTTTAAAGAGTACATCTTACAGGTACCTGTCTATAATAAATAAAGAGCATCAAGGTAAAAAACCCACAAAAGTTTATTTATTAATTAACTTATATTCTGTCTTTCCTCCAAAGAGCTGAAGGTAAATAAGCAGACATCATTTTCTCAATTCCTGTTTTCTCAAGTTGAAAACAGGTGTGTCTTGCAAAGCATCCAGCAAACTTCATGGCCAGGCAGGGATTAAAACATTAATCTCTCATAGCCAAACCCAGCACTTCAAATATTTTACTGGCTTTCTCAGTGACTCAGCATGGAAGCTCCATTTATCTTTTTGCTTGCGCAAACTTCCAGGATAATTGAGGAGCAGGGCAGCATAAACTGCTTTTTTTGTGAATAACATGTGCTCACTCTTTGAAAAATAAGTCACTAGTGGACAGTTTGCCCATCTTCCCATCACTCCTTTCAGAACTCTTCACGATGCCCCAACCCAACCCCTTTTATAGTTTTTCAGTACCTTTCCAACATTTTCTTTATAGGAAACAAAATTGTGAAAAGTGAGATCCACCAAATCAGGACCAGAAACCACAGTCAATGTCTTGAGAAAGAAATTGTTGTCTGGGAAGTCCAGGTTGAAAACGTCTCGGAGCTTCTGGCTCTGCAAAGGATAAACAAGCATGAACATTCCAAGTAGGAATGCAGAGGGGAGGACAAGTTGCCTGCCTGAAACAACAAGAACTGTGTCAACCTTTTGCTTGAAATTCAAAGCGGAATGATTCAGCTTGAAGATCAGAAAACATTAACCAATATAGCATTTTTTAAAAATTATAATTCCCTTTACTCATTGAATAGTGTAGTACTTTATAGTAGCACTGTTTATAGAAGGGATGGGGAACTGGTGGCCTTCCAGATGTTGTTGGATTACTCTCATCTTCCCAGTGCTGGCTGACACAGATGTGATTTAGGAGCATCTGGAGTCACTAGTTCCCCATCCCTAGTTTACAGAAAAGTTTAACATGCTCCCACGCCAGCTTATTGAACTTCTTGCAGAAATACTATAACAGGGTCAGATGCTACAATAAGCTCAGAGCTGTCAGAAAATAATGGCAGCTTTGTGTCGAGATTGTCTCCTCCATTGTTTCTGGCCATGCCCACGATCAATGGCGGTTGTTCTCCGCAGCCCTCCAGGGGTTGCAGGGAAATTCAGGCAGGGGGAAGAGAGGAAATGAGGCATCAATCCTCTTGATGCTCTTCAGTGGGGATTTCACTGCATCCCACAGTGTGGCACAATCCCGTGTCTGCCAACTTGAAAGGCAGAACAGGAGCGATCTGGGAGTGTGCCACTGCCATGGACGAGCCTCCACTACCAGCATGATTTGTGGAAGGTTCCTCTTCAATTTGGATAATTGGCATTCATCAAGAGGCGCTAAGCCTCATATGCTAAGAGGCTGCAATCAATCAGCTGCCGAAATAACCGGGACCGGTTTTCTGAAGGTATTTGAATGTTTTCTGAAGCTTGAGAATCCTTACAACAACCTCAAAGGAAAGAGGGAGGACAAGGAGCTTTGTGCTTTCTTATGGTTTTCTAATGGTCTTTCTATTTCTTGTCCTCCCCTACGATGAAGAGACATGTGTAGTTGCTACTTTGTTTGACACTTCAAAAACGGGGAGGGGCAGTGGCGGAGGAAGCCTCTCCGTCACCTGGGGCGTGGTGCTGAGGGGCGTGGCAAACCGCCCGGTAGCGCACGTGCGGCAGCCTGTATGGACTGCTGATGGAGTGCCATCCATATGGGCTGCTGCGTATATGGACCTGTACCCTCGGCTGCTCTACAGCTGGGGGGGAGGCAGCGGACCATCTTGTCACACACACCCCCACGGTGGCACCCGGGGCGGACTGCTCCCTGCCCCACCCCCTTTGTATGCCCCCGGGGAGGGGTGCTTTTCAATTATGCTTTACAAGGAATTTAATAAAGTTTTGCTATGCCCCCCCCCTTGACTGAGGCTGAATGGATTTTATTCATCACCACCGCCAGACCAGGGTGTTGTTGGAGAAATCCAGCGGGGGAAAAGAAAAACGACCTGCAACTGGATAGTTGCGGAAGAAAGGCTGATTCTTAGGAAAGTGTGTGCTGTGTATTGTGTGCCGAGAAAGAACTCCAGCGGGGAATTTAATGGCAGATGTCTGGAAAGTTCACTCTGTGAGATATTTATGGCTGTGGCTCGCATGTCAGCTTGATAACAGTGGAACTGAATGGAATGTGACCTTGTACCACTCAGATAAACACTGCAAAGAATTGAACAACAAAAGAACTGAACTCTTTTAACTTTCGAAGTCTGGAACAAAAATGTACATGAAGGGCTACAAGTGAAATGGATTATATATTTACAACAGGAAAATGAGGTGCTGATTGTAAGGTAAAAAAAAGGACAGCTGGAAGAATGGTTTAATAGCAAGTGAAGGATGTCAACTGGAGACTAAATAAGAACTGGGCAGCTATGGGGGAATATATTGGACATATGATTGCAACAAGAGCGGGAAACCTGGTTTTAAGAAATTGTATTAAATTAAGTAATTTGGTTTGATTTTTAATAATTTGGAAAATCAATAAAAATAATATTTTTTAAAAAGAGAGATTGTTTCCTCCATAAGTTATAGTGAAACTTACAGTACCATACTTGTCAGGAAATGTGCATGTTTCACACCTTTGGTTCTTGATGCCAGACCACAGGTAAGTTTCACCACACATTATGGAAAGGAAGGTAACAAACTTCTCATGGGGCCAATATTTTTGCAGCAATCCTGTGTTTTTCACCATGTATAATTCTGTCCTAAAAACAAGGACTATGAGATGTTGTCTTGTTAATGTGGGACTTTGCTGATTTTGACAAAAACACCCCATGCACACTGGATATTGCTTGCACCAACTTTAGCTTTCTTGGGAATGTCTTCTCTCTCTTTTAAATGTGGGCCTACGCATGACCATTTATTCACCAGACTTAAACTTTTCCCCCATTTGATTTTACCTATTTTGTAACCTCTTACATAAGCACTGTTTAGCAGTTTCTCCTGAACATTTTCAGATTTTGCACCCACCGTCCACTCCCAAATTTAGCAGTGCAAAAAAGGATACATGTTTCACTGGTCACACATTTCATACAGTCCAGTGTTACAAAACACACAATTTGCTACCACAAATGAAAAGAACAGCTCAGTCAATATGAGAGGAAGAAGTCAATTAACAAGTTACAATGGCATCTCCCAATGAGTATTGCATGGATAACAATTACTAATCCTATACACTATGCCACAAACTCACCTTGGGAATCTTTGCAAATTTCCCTATTCTAGTATCTCGAATGCTTGTAATCTCCAAAAATTCCATTTCCTGCAAAATATCAAAAATTAACATTCAAGTCCTGAGCAATTGTAAAGGAAAGGAAAGCACTTGCATTCACAAACCCATTACTCAGCAGCCTAATCACATCTTCTAATGTACAAAACAGCATGCATTAAACATTACCCATTTTTCAACAGATTCCATTAGGGGCAGGCCCAGAGAATGTTACCACTACTAAGCAGTAATTGGTAATGTCCAAAACATAACAGCTAGCCCAGTATCACTTTGATGTTTGGAATCTGTGTTATATAAAATGCAAGGTATCTTCTCAGAAAATTAGAATTCTTCTTAGCTTTAACTACTACAGCGACTCTCACGTGAGTATTATATGAAAATATTGGGGAAATAAATGTCAGGTTCTGAAATGTTTGTGTATTATACTCAAATGGCAACTGGATCTTTCACTAGCTGTCTTATTTTGAGTATCACATACTAATGTTTGCCCTTTGAATTGGGCCTAGAAACAAACTGCCAACCCATACAGGTGCTTTAAAACACGAGAGATCTAAACGGAACCCGAGTCAGTAATCTGACCACTGCAATTTCCACCATCCATTGCATTTTCCATGCAGTGTTATGAGCCACTGGGTTAGGTTATCTGAAAGAGGAGCTTGCTGGGAGAATTTGCCTCTGCAGGGGTCTTTAGCCCACTGAGGACGCATTCTGATGACATCATTGGTTCACACTACGCTGCATATACAGTGATCAGGGCAACCCACACAATACGGTAGCTTTGCACGTCTTCTCCTTCTTGTACTTGCACTTTCTAACCTTCAAAGTCTGCAGGCTCTCAGCGGCATTAGCACCCATCAGCATGGGCAAGACCCCCTTCCCTGGTTACTGCTTAGCAACAGCAGTCAAATGATGGAAGCTTTAATGTAACACACCACTGATCTGCATCAATGCAGATCTTTTTTGTTTGGTTTTTACTTTCATAATGGGGTATAACAGCAGGGAGCTCAAGAAGCCTAAATTTCCCTTGTTTGTATTTTCAAATGCTGACAAGCAAATTTCCAAGAACATCACAATTCTCGTTTGCTGATTCAGGCCAAATGGCATATTACATGCCTCAGCCCTGATTATTATTATTTAACTTAAAAGCTGCTTCAATTTGTGAGCAGAGAAGGGGTGGGTGGGTGTGTAACCCTTTCCCTGCTGGCCATTTCCACGCTCCAGATTGCTCACTTCATTCATTCTGGAAGAAAAACTTAGAAGGGGGAAGCAGCAGGAGGTGTGTAATTTGGAGAGAGAAAATAATGGGGAGGGGAAAGTTAATCACCCCACTGCGCAGTAACTTCACCACTCAAAATCTGGCATCTCACAGGATGCAAGATCCCATGGAATCTGATAGCGAAAACGTGTAAATGTTACATTATTGTGTACCCTTTCTGGCAACACCTTAAAATGGATAGGAATAGAATTCTTATCCCCAAAAGAACTACATGGATAAACCATTCTGACGGAACTTTTTGTACACTGCTATACATTCGTACAAAAAGTCACTCCCCCTTGTACAAAAACTGGCTTCAGAACTGGACTGTTTGTTAGCTTGCCCAACAGCATTTGAGCTCACCTTTGTTTACAAGCTCTTTTCGCAAGTGGGAAACCAGCCTGCCACTGACCTCTCCCAGTGTGGAATTAAACAAACCACCATCCTACTCCCACATTTGTTTATTTTGCTTAGTATTCTAATCATAAGACTACTGAATTTTCCAGGCAAATGAGACACCTGAGTTATCACTACCCTCAGACAAGCCCATCTCTTCCGTTGACAAATTATTGAGCTATCTGCCAGCAACTACAAGCAGCAGAGTGCAAGAGGCCCCACTCCACTCTCTAGAAAACTCATCCCTAACTCAAAGGGTCCCTATACTGCAGCAAACTAGTACCTGGCAGAGCCGTGAGTAAGCAGCAACTAGGTATCAGGAGGCCAGAGCTTTGTGTGCAACGTAGCCTGCCCTGCACCCCTAAGCTAGCCAGCTCCCCTCAGGTGTGGTGGAGAACACTGACCAGATTCACATCACACATTCAAAATGCTATGATACCACTCATGGCTCCCCCCAAAGAATTCTGGGTGCTGTAGTTTGTTAAGCATATGACTGTAGTTTGTTAAGCATGTTAAGGGTGTGACTTGACATGATTACAAGGTAAATATCTCAATTTAGTGTGACATGTTATTCTAGACAAACGTTTGAAGGCATAACTATCAGGGATTATTGGCCATGATAAGTGAATGGAGTTTCCAGGTCCAAATTCAATTATATCTCTGAATAGCACTTGCTTGGGAGCAACAGCTATTATATTCATGCCTTGCTTGTGGTCTCCCTAGAAACATCTGGTTGGCCACTGTGGAAACGAGGGTGCTGGGCTAGATGTGTGTGTCGTTTGATCCACCTGGGATTTTCTTATTGTCAGCAAAGTCACTTAAATACAGTGGTACCTCAGGTTACATACATTTCAGGTTACATACTCCGCTAACCCAGAAATAGTGCTTCAGGTTAAGAACTTTGCTTCAGGTTGAGAACAGAAATCGTGCTCTGGCGGCGCGGCGGCAGCAGGAGGCCCCATTAGCTAAAGTGGTGCTTCAGGTTAAGAACAGTTTCAGGTTAAGTACGGACCTCCAGAACGAATTAAGTACTTAACCCGAGGTACCACTGTAATGCAGACAGATTTCAGAGAGAAATGTCCTGATAACACATTGCAGAGCAAAATTGAATGAAAGCAGTGTATAGTTTGAGGAGAAAGAAACAGAGAAGCTTTGCCTTTCTTAGTTAAGGTCTTGTACATAGCTCCCTCAGGGCTACATAGCCAATCAGGGCATGAGGTGACTCAGCAAACATCATGCCACTCTGCCTTGTTGCCAAACGAAACCTCCGCCACCCTATCTGGTTAGCAGACCTATTGATAGCAGAGTTAGCCCTTACGTTACAAACTGAATGATCCCTGCTGTTGGACTTCTACCACTTCTAGTCTTCCAAGAGGAAGTGAAACCTGACAAATTGTCAACCTCCTGACATAGTTACTGTGCATAGTTACTGCTATTGTCTTATTCTCAAGCTTCAGTTACTCCTGTGATTAAGAGAAGGAAGCAGCCCCAAACCACAGTATCATACTTAACTAGAAAGCAGAACTAAACGATCAGAGGCTCTCAGTCCCCGCTGGCCTGCTCTATCTCACTGCGTTTTCAGTTTTCATGGAGGAGGAGAAGACAGATGGCCTTCCTTTTCATGTGAATTATTGCTCCACTTACCAAACATCCTTACACCTGGCTGGTTCATGCATATCACTTGGAGCCACAGTTAAGCCTAACTGGTTTGGGAATAAATGTGGAGTGCGCTGGTGTATGGAGCTAGAATTACAGCTGATTGTTCCTCTTCATGCTGCTTCTGTGCTCACAGGATCTAAGCCATGGTTTCGGCTAGTATTGTGTCCAAAGAGAAGTAGTACCACACTATTCTACCTCAGTCAGACTACAACTGGAGTACTGTGTCCAGTTCTGGGTGCCACAATTTAAGGATATTGACAAGCTGGGATCGGTGCACAGAAGGGTGACCAAGATGATCAAGGGTCTGGAAACCAAGCCTTATGAGGAGCAGTTGAGGGAGTTTGGAATGGATGAGACTGAGAGGAGATATGAAAGCCATCTTCAAATATCTAAAGGGGTGTCACATGGAAGATGGCGCAAGCTTGTTTTCTCCTGCTCCAGAGGGTAGGTCCTCAAGCTACAGGACCAGTGGCTTCAAGTTACAAGAAAGGAGATTCTGCCTAAACATTCAGAAGAACTTTCTGACAGTAAGAGCTATTTGACAGTAGAAGGTGGATGTTTTGAAGCAGAGGTTGAATGGTCACCGGTCATGTGTGATCTAGTTGAGATTTCTGCATTGCAGGGGATTGGACTAGACACTCAAGATCCTTTCCAACTCAACAATTCTATGATCCATTTGGTATGCACATACCAAAAATCCAGAAACCCATGGCAAGTTTTGAAGCTCCCCACAGGCATTTGGTTGGAAACTGTGAGAACAGCACACTAGATGCCATGAGACATTGGCCTAACCCAGCAGGCCCTTGTTATGTTCTTATGTTCCTTCTTTTCTCTGTTTTGCCAAATCTGCAGGACAAATCTACTCCAGTTTCAAATCTTCAAGGCATCTCTCCAGGTAAGGCAACCTAGTGCTTCTATAAGTCCCAACTTTTACACAAGCAATGAACAACAAGTACATGCTTTGGCCAGGTGACAGTGGGAAGTGGCTCTTTGGAAGAGCTAAATTGGATGTGTCAAAGAGAAACTGAGACTAAGAGGATGCCTAAAGAACACGTAGCACCTCCAGCCGTGACAGAGATACTGGAGAACAGGATGCACAAGTACTTTGTGTTTTCTACCTCCTGCATGTTCAATTCCATGCAAATCAGGAGCAAAAGATTAAGAGCATCAGAAAGGTGCAGAATTAATGTCTGTGACGTCCCTTCCAAGTGAGGAAGTGTGGCTCAATGAAAGAGCACATGGTTTGTACTCAGAAAGTCCCAAGTTCCATCCTTGGCACCGCCAGTTAGAAAAGATCAGGTAACAGCTGATAGGAAAGTTTTCTGCCAGTCAGGGTAGACAAAGCTTCTAGCTGACTTGGCATAAGTCAGCTTCCTATGAGGCTTAGAGGCACATCATAGGTGATGTATAAGGTTGAGAGAAAAAGTGAGTTTGGAGGTTGCCTGCAGTAGAAAGAAGTGGTCAACAGGCATGGGGTATTCAATGTTCCTTTATTATTACATTTCTATTCTGCCCTTCCACCCAAGAGAGTCCAGGCCAGCTAATACCAACGTGGTGAAATAACACACTATTACAAATAAACATATTTAAAATCTTCATGCATTTAATATAGGCTTTTAAAAAATGACCTATGTCTAATATTTTAGAACACTACTGCATGAGAAAAGAATGTTCTGACACAATTAAGAATAAAATCATCATCATCACTTCCCACGAAGCATCTCCATACATAAAATAGTTAGCTTTCTAGTTTCCGCTCTCCATTGACTCACTGCTTTTCTCCAGAATTCCCCAGATGCACATGCTGCTCAGTTAGCAAATATAATTAATGCCCTTCTAGCTTGGGAGGGGCCAGAGCTCAGCAGCAGAACACCCTCCTTACATGCAGAAGTTGGGTGCCTGGTATCTCCAGATAAAAGGATGTCAAAGAGCAGAACTGGGTCAGGGACCTCCGTCATAAGTTCTAAACTTTGCATGATGCAAAGATAGGTGTAATGCTATGGCTGCTTTTTCTGAAGCCTCCAAGAAGAGCCCATCTGGAGTTAGAATAAAGGGGATCATTCCCATTTTTCTTCTGCCACCAAGCTGTCCCCCCCCCCATCATAGGTGCAAACATTTGCTTAGAACCCCACATGAATGGACCTGGAGTTGAAACCCACAGCTGCGTAGGAAGCAGCTGCCTCACAAAGAGTCAGATTGTTGGTCCATCTACCCCAGGGTCACCTACACTGACTTGCAGTGACTCTCTAGGGTTCCAGACAGGGGTCTCTCACTGTCTTATCTCAAGATTTCAGGGATTGAACTTGAGACCTTCTCCATGCAAAGCAGATGCTTTACTACCGAGATACAGCCAGCAGAGAAAGAAGTAAGCGCACCTTCACCCTCTCCCCACTTCTTGGTCAGAGAATATGTTTGGGACTGGGTTAGATAGCTTGACAGAATGGTCTGATTTAGGAGACGGGAGCTTCATGGATGGGACCTATGTGCTTTGCCCTTCAAAGACTCAAACCCAAAGAGAACTAATGGTTCCTCATCATCCGGGGGGGGGGGGGAGTGACAAGTGGGGTCCCACAGGGTTCAGCCCTGGGCCTGTTGTTGTTCAACAGCTTTATAAACTACATGGATAAAGGATTTCAGGGGATGCTCATCAAATTTTCAGATGACATCAAACTAAGAGGGTAGCTAATGCTGCAGAAGACAGAGTGGGGATCCAAGATTACCTTTACAGATTGGAGAACCAGGCCAAAACTAACAAAATGAATTTCAGCAGCGACAAATGAAAGGTTCTGCACTTAGGCAGGAATAACCACCTGCACAAATGTTAGATGGGGGATACCTGGTTTGCTGGTAGTACATGTGAAAAGGATCTAGGTAGACCACAAGCTTAACATGAGTTAACAGTGTGATGTGGGGGGGGGGGGAGAGCTAATGGTATTCTAGGCTGCATCAACAGAAGTATAGTGTCCAGGTCAAGGGGATTAATAGTACCGCTCTATTCTGCCTTGGTCAGACCACACCTGGAGTACTATGTCCAATTATGGGCACCACAATTTAAGAAGGATGCTGACTAGTTGGAATGTATGCAGAGGAGGGCAAGCAAGATGATCCAAGGGTCTGGAAACTAAGTCTTATGAGGAATGGTTGAGGGAGCTGGGTATATTTAAACTGGATAAGAGGAGACTGATAGGAGATATGGGGGCCATCTTCAAATATTAAAGGCTCCAGAGGACCGAAATCAATGGATTCAAGTTACAAGAAAGGAGATTCCAACTAAACTTAAGGAAGAACTTTCTGACAGTAAGAGCTGTTTGACGGTGGAACAGTCTCCCTCGGAAGATAGTGGACTCTTTTTCCTTAGAGATTTCTAAGCTGAGGTTGGATGGTCATGTGTCATGAATGCTTTAGTTGAGATTCCTGAATTGAAGGGGGTTGGACTAGATGATGACACTCTATAATTCTATGATTCTATGACTCTGGTATCTTTTGACATCAACATCTCCAATTAAAGACTGAGGATCAGGACTTACCTTACTCTGCAAAGTCCAATAGAGATAAAAGCCCTTTGGGTCTACCCGCAGAATCACAGGAGAGGCACTTGCTGTATCCTGACAAAACCAGAACAGCAGGTTTGTTTGTTTGTTGTTTGTATTTATTAGTCACTTTTTTTGCACTCAAGTGCACCAAAGCAAGTTATACAGTAAAAGAAAACAACAAAGGCAGTAAATAGCTCAGAAACTGTCATTTATGTGTTCTACTATATCTGTGAGGGAGAGGAAATGTCACTTCAGCTGCATGAGGTGAGCTGGAATGACATATATTTAGGGTAGGGGATGCCAACATTTTACCTGTTGGCAGGGCCTTGCAGAGCCAGGCAGAGGCCAGGTGCAGGTAGATAATGTGCCCCCCCCCGCGCCTCCGCGTTCACCCCAGTGCATCCCCTTCAATTGTGAAAACGCTGACTGAGGCCCCCTTTGGAATTGGAAGCCCGGGCCAAGTGGCCCATATGGCTCCCCTCTGTCTGGGCCTGCCTGTTGGACTCCAACTCCCATCAGCCCCAGCCAGCGTGGTCAATGGCAAGGGATGATGGGAGTTAGAGTCCATCAACATCTGGATGACTCCATGTTAGCTGCTATTATTATGATTATGATTAAGATTATGATTGATTTAAGGTTTTCCCCTATGCTATCATTTAAGTTGACTTCTATCCACATATATTTAGGAATTGCTGTATGGTAAATAGAGGAATGTATCCCACATTAAAGCAGTACGAACTTTTCTACAGCTGAGTGGAATTCTTGTGCTGCCCTTATTCCTGCCCGTTCTGCCACCCCACTTTCTTCATTAGCGGGATTTTCAGAGAGGAGAGAGATAGATAGAGAGATTGGGGGAGAGGGTTTTAAAGCATGGGACAGAACTTCAGGAAAAGTTTGTTCTGGATTCCAAAATTGAAGTGGCTATTTTTTTTTTTTAGGTGTTTATTAGTTGCTAATTTCACTATGTAATAATTACTTCCACTTTCTTCTCCAGATCTGACGTGAATGAGCTTGGCTACAATTCCCTTTTATTCATCTCAAAGCATCTGGAGGAGAAAGTGGAATTCAAAATGTCACACTTGTCTAAAAGAAGAGATCCTGAAGTCTTAATACAATTTGTGGGACTTTTAGTGGGGTAGATTTGCTGCAGCTTCTGTTTTCTGTGGTTTTACTGCTTTGTTTTTGCAGTTTTATTGTATTTGTTTAAACTAACTACTCAGTCAGCATTTGGATGTCTTTGACAGCAAACACCTTGATTTGGAAATGGGGAAGGAGTGGAAATTAATATGATAGAGGTGACAGCTGTGCCCGCCTTGTTTTGTGTGATCAGCCTTCTTCTGCATCATACAAGACTCTGAGCTGGTTTTAGTTCTTAAAATATCTATGACACTCAGATGTACTGAGCTGCACCGCACCACACAGAATGAAGACCATGATGAAGAGCTTTCTGTTTCACCATTAAAGCCATAGTTACATGGTCTGTCTCCAAGTGACATATCTCCACTTACAGAAAACTTGTGGCTGCTGAGTCAGTTGACAGTAACAACCGACACAGCTGTTACCTGAGGGGGCAGCCAGGTGATAGATTCCTCCATGACTGATTCAGCACTTTAGCACCTGAGCTGGAAAGGCTGCTGAAGGAAAAGCTATCAAATATTGCAAGCACTGTGTACTATACTCCTGCCTCTGGATTTTGCCACCCACATTGAAACCGCTAGTGGCTTGGGATATTACACTGTCAATAAGAAACTTCTGCTTGAGAATTCAAGAGCAATGATAATATAAAAGGTAAAGGGACCCCTGACAGTTAAGTCCAGTCGCGAACGACTCTGGGGTTGCAGTGCTCATCTCGCTTTACAGGCCGAGGGATCCGGCGTTTGTCCACTTCCGCAGACAATTTTTCCGGGTCATGTGGCCAGCATGCCTAAGCCACTTCTGGAGAAGCCAGAGCAGCACACAGAAACAGTGTTTACCTTCCCATCGGAGCGGTACCTATTTATCTACTTGCACTGCATGCTTTGGAACTGCTAGGTTGGCAGGAGCTGGGACCGAACAACAGGAGCTCACCCCGTCGCGGGGCCTCGAACCGCGACCTTCCGATCAGCAAGTCCAAGCGGCACAGTGGTTTAAACCACAGCGCCACCCACATCCCAAATGATAATATAAAGGTCCTCAATAACATTTTTAAAAAACCCTCTATAATTAGTTAACGTCATCCAAAGGTATCTCCTTAATTAACATATGTGACTCCATATAATCTACACAGTTTTTTTAAAAAAACAAACAAACACCAAAACAAAACAGGAAGGAGTGCATTTGGGCATCAAAGCACAATGGGGAAACATTTTTCTGGTTTGACCTGAATTCCAACACAGGGAATGAATATTGTCACCAATGCGGGACAATATTCTATACAGCTGAAGCCCTAAAAGCAGGGGCAGGGAAGCATTTTCAGCCCAAGGGCCACATTTCCTACTTTGTTTCCTCCAGAGGGCCACGTGATAATGGTGGGTGGGACCAGAGGCAAAAGGGAGTGGAGCGATGGATGTAAACTTTGCCTCTGTATATTTCTACACGTTCTCACACGCCTCTCTGTATCTTCTATCCAGATAAGCAAGAGGCATTGTTAGAGTTTAAGGACACATTCCAGCCAGGCCAAAAACACTTGGAGTGCGCAGTAGGTCCAGTGACGTTTGTGGGGCTAGCTGGTGAGAGACCTAAGGGGCAAAAACAGATGGCTGCAGGGCCCTATTTGGCCCCTGGACCGGAGGTTCACCAACCCTGCTCTAAAGGAAACACAGGTTAATGATGCAATCGCCCCGGTGCCAAACTGGAGGCCTCTAAAAGGACAGAAGGTGAGCCTGCTGGAAGAAGCTAGTGGTCCATCTAGTCCAGCATCCTGTTCTTACAGTGGCCGACCAGATGCCTGTTGGAAGCATGTAACCTGGATGTGAGCACAAGATAACTCTCCCCACCAGCGATTCCAGCACCTGGTATTCAGAGAGGTATACTGCCTTTGATAGTGGAAACCCATTGATGGCCTTCTCCTCCATGAATTTATCTAACCCTCTGTTAAAGACCTTTCATAGTTTGGGGATATCACCAAAGCATTCTAGGGCTTACTGCACATAAAGTGGCACAATGACATCCCCACATCATGTCGCTTTCTGCACAAAGGTTGTGAGATGCTGCAGAGCCTTAGAGTACATGGACCTGTGGAAGAACCACACTGGCCTCTGTATTTGCCAATAGTCTTCAGACACATCATTTGAAACATGCAGTTGTTTCCTATTCATTCAAAGACCGATATTAATCATAGATCAACACGGTGAATTTGTCATTTGTGCCAGATAACGCAGCGTATACGAAGACTGTGGTTGACTTACTTTTGAAAGATCTCACAGATAATTGGATTAACTTGCAAAACCGCGGCCTCTTTAATGTGATTCTTCCCAGAGCAGATTCACCTTTATCACTTGTTATTTACAGAACTGTCAAAACTTACATTTGTTTCAACTGGCTGGTGATCAGCTCTTTTGTATGAACATGGCCTGTTGCTCTTTGTTTGATGCTGTTATATTTATAGTTATTTATTTGATATATGCTTTACTTTGGGTATTCAACAGGTTAAGCTTGAAGAATGAAGAAGATGATAGATATTAAATGAAGAAGATGATAGATAAATAAATATAGATAGATGATAGATAGATAGATGATAGATAGATGATAGATAGATGATAGATAGATATAGATAGATAGATATAGATAGATAGATAGATAGATAGATATAGATAGATAGATAGATGATACATAGATAGATAGATGATAGATACTATTCCTCCACACTTCATAGCCGTGCCTTCCATAGGATGGCTGGAATATAATAATAATAATATCTCACATGCACAATAAAAATGCAGGAGTGGGCCCACCACAACTTTATAATTACTTTGCATAGTTTTCCTCTTTTTTACTCATCACTCATTGCTTCCCCCTAAATCTTACCACATGCAAACATTCATTTATTGCCCTCAACCACAGAAGGAGAGATTTACTCACTCACACAGCTGGGTAGTTATGTCTAGAACCCTTCCACTTCCTGCTTCTCAAGAGCCCCAAACCAGGGTGAATTAAAACCCACGGTACTCACATCATCCCACTTGATAAAGCGTTCACCTCTGGACATGTATTCCTTCACCTCAGGGGGAGTCAAAATAGGGGTAAGCACTGACATCTTGGCATTCAGATCCTGACTCGTAGGACTCTTGTTCTCAGCTGCCTCCTTCCAGTCTCTCTAGATCTCCTCACATAACGCTCTCCGTTGCTCCAGGAGCCAGAGATGCTTTATAGGCCAGAGAAAACACCAGGACGGCTCCACAAACTGAAAGCAGAGACGCTGATCTGCATGGCAAATTATCAGCTTTCCAGAAGAAACAGGTGAGCTCTGGAGAGCCAACAGCCCAGAGAATGTGGGGTGGGCAGGCGGAGTCGATTAGCAGGCTGTTCCTTGCAGAAACCCACAAGCAAGGGCTTCCTGTTATGAACTTCCTCATAAATGCTTCTGCTTCCCTCCTCTCAACTTTACAGTTGATTCATAAAGTATTTCAAAAGGGCTTGAAGGATTTCAGAGTTCCTTTTCAAAGCTGTTGTTTTGGTAACATTTCCTCCCTAAAAAGCTAAGGGAGTGGTATTATCTGCACAACACAAACACACACACAGCTACGCCTGGAAACTTAGGGGTGGGTGTGGGGTGGGGACTTGTTGATACCAAGATATCTCACTAGCAGTGAGAACTATTTGGGGTAAAACAAAGTATTTTCACAAATGATACTAAAGAATTGTGGCTAAAACTATGTTTCAGAGTATGGGAGGCCCACATGGACAAGAATGTACACCTGAATTTTTAAAAAATGGCTCTTTATTCTGCTTTCAATATTATATTGACAGGGTCACCGCTAGACATTTCACTGCCTGTGGCACAGCAGGAAATGGTGCCCCCTCCCCAACCCAAAGTCAAGGTGCGTAGTATCTAAGGTCAACCAAGTTATGTTAGCATCTGAGGTAGAACATCCCACAAACACCTCTCCTCCATGGTAGCAAAATACAGTTATAATAAATTAGGCAGCAAACCATTTGCTGTCTTTCCATGGCACCCAAAATCTGCTGCCCGAGGCAGCTGTCTTGCTCTGCCTAATGGTTGGGTTGGCCCTGTTTATGAACAATAACTAACAGACAGAATAAGCATAACCCCGGTGACCTGGAAGTAACTCCCATTGAACTTAATGAGATTTGCTTCTGAGCAGATAGATATACCTTTGCATTATGAATCCCTGTATTGCTCATTGTAGCAAGGGTCCAGACATAGAAATATTATTATTATTATTATTATTATTATTATTATTATTATTATTTCTCAAAGGTACTGCTTCTTTTATAGTGTAGGGGCAATGCTAATCTTCTCTGTATTCAAAACAGAATTAAAAAAATTCCTTCCAGCAGCACCTTAGAGACCGACTGAAACAGTGTATCTGAAAAAGTGTGCATGCACACGAAAGGTCATACCAATAACAAACTTAGTTGGTCTCTAAGGTGCTACTGGAAGGAATTTTTTTTATTTTGTTTCGACTACGGCAGACCAGCACAACTACCTACCTGTAATTTCTTTGTATTGTTCCAGTTTTAGCATATGTGCTTCTTTTATTGTGATACTGCATTTTCCCAGCTATCAAATGGCCACATTTTGCAGTGTGAACTGTGTGTGCTTTAAGGCAACCTATTTCTATTAGGCATTCATCCTGATTTAGTTGCAGAGATTAGACTAAAGCCAGCTATTTAACAAGCGTCAACCAGATTTGTTTGTAGGGAGGTTAGATGATGTTGCATCAAAGCAAGAGTTATCCCACACTTTCCAGTGAATTTTCCCATCACTTCCTGATCACAGAAAAGTTGCACATGACCTTCAAATCCATATTAATTTTGTGACCTGGTACTTACATGGTAATTACAAAATGTAATTTGAAAAGGAATTCATGACAGTTTGTTAAAATCATCTACCATCTGAGGCACGCTGCCTCATCTGGCCTAATGTCTAAGCCATCCTGAATGTAGCCTGGAATATTTCCAGTGCAATGTTTAATACACTGGCAGAACACATTGTGGTGAGAGAGGAGCAAACTGCATTGAAAGGAAGCATGTAAAAACATTTTGCCTTTTTGACTACGGCAAACAGGAGGTTTGCTCAAACCACCAACTTGCTATCTAAGTGATTTCCATATACAAACTGAGATTTCATAAAAATCCTCCCTTATGCAAAAGTGTTATTTTACCCATTGTGAGTGTGAGAAAATGAGGGTGAACCTGCCACACATCATTCAATCACTTTTTATGAAACCTAGTATCATAATCCCACACACACACACACACACAAATATATCAGAACGGTTTACAACAATTATACACAAAACTAAACAATAGAAATATCTTAAAACCAGAGATCAGCTGTTATGCTTTAGCTGTATAGTATAGTGAAAATCGGGCTGTATCTGGAGGAAAGACAGTTTTAAGAGTCTATGGCACAGCTCTGAATATTGCTGATTCATTTATTTGTGGGAAATCATTGCAACATTAACAATATAGGGAGGTTTCTCTGTCCATTCTCTGGCTATAATCAGAAGCAAAAGACCAAGCACCATCTGGAACACTTTATAACACTTGGCTCCTAAAGGCCAGTTCACACAGAAATGTTCCTCTGGAGTCACTGTAAACCTTTCCCCCATCTGCAGTTCCTCTCTCTTTTTCAGGGCTGGTCCAAGACATTTCGCTGCCTGAGGTGAAAGACAAGATGGTGTTTCCTCTCAATTCTACATACAGAAGCTGACAGACAGGTACTTGAATGTTACTTCAACATGGGTGAGGGGGGGGAAAGCAAGCCAGATTAGGAGAGGTGCAGCAGCACAAATAAGCTCTTGTGGCTGCTTTTATTAGCTGTAAAAAATGCGCTACTGATCTTGAAACTCAGAAGGAAAGTTGGGCTTGCAACCTGCCCTGACCTACATACATTGCTTAGTTCCCCACCTGTGTTCAGGTGATGGGAATCCGGACCTACTTCCTCTTGTATAACTGAACTCTTAGGTTTCCCTTCTGCTGTGAGATAATTACAGTCTTAACCAATAGGAAGAGAAAGAAGAATTTGTGGAACCACATAGAAAGGTTTGGATATGTTGAAATCCATGGGCATTGCACATTCCAAAATGCAGGAGTTGATCTGCCACATCTTGCCTATAATTAGTTTCCCCCCCAGGAAGATTTCCGTTCAAAAGTCTTGCATTAGATGTGATCCCTCTGAGGAGGGCTGCCAGGTTGCAGCGAGCCTTAACCTTAAATTCACCTGGAAAAGATTGTGGCATCCTAACATCGAAAGGATTTAGAATCATAGAATCATAGAATCATAGAGTTGGAAGAGACCACAAGGGCCATCGAGTCCAACCCCCTGCCAAGCAGGAAACACCATCAGAGCACTCCTGACATATGGTTGTCAAGCCTCTGCTTAAAGACCTCCAAAGAAGGGGACTCCACCACACTCCTTGGCAGCAAATTCCACTGTCGAACAGCTCTTACTGTCAGGAAGTTCTTCCTAATGTTTAGGTGGAATCTTCTTTCTTGTAGTTTGGATCCATTGCTCCGTGTCCGCTTCTCTGGAGCAGCAGAAAACAACCTTTCTCCCTCCTCTATGTGACATCCTTTGATATATTTGAACATGGCTATCATATCACCCCTTAACCTCCTCTTCTCCAGGCTAAACATGCCCAGCTCCCTTAGCCGTTCCTCATAAGGCATCGTTTCCAGGCCTTTGACCATTTTGGTTGCCCTCCTCTGGACACGTTCCAGTTTGTCAGTGTCCTTCTTGAACTGTGCTGCCCAGAACTGGACACAGTACTCCAGGTGAGGTCTGACCAGAGCAGAATACAGTGGCACTATTACTTCCCTTGATCTAGATGCTATACTCCTATTGATGCAGCCCAGAATTGCATTGGCTTGTTTAGCTGCCGCGTCACACTGTTGGCTCATGTCAAGTTTGTGGTCAACCAAGACTCCTAGATCCTTTTCACATGTACTGCTCTCAAGCCAGGTGTCACCCATCTTGTATTTGTGCCTCTCATTTTTTTGCCCAAGTGCAATACTTTACATTTCTCCCTGTTAAAATTCATCTTGTTTGTTTTGGCCCAGTTCTCTAATCTGTCAAGGTCGTTTTGAAGTGTGATCCTGTCCTCTGGGGTGTTAGCCACCCCTCCCAGGTTGTGTCATCTGCAAATTTGATCAGGATGCCCTTGAGTCCATCATCCAAGTCGTTGATAAAGATGTTGAATAAGACCGGGCCCAAGACAGAACCCTGTGGCACCCCACTAGTCACTCTTCTCCAGGATGAAGAGGAACCATTGATGAGCACCCTTTGGGTTCGGTCAGTCAGCCAGTTACAAATCCACTGAGTGGTAGCATAGTCAAGACCGCATTTTACCAGCTTCTTTACAAGAATATCATGGGGCACCTTGTCAAATGCCTTGCTGAAATCAAGGTAGACTACATCCGCTGCGTTCCCTTCATCTACCAGGCTTGTAATTCTGTAAAAAAAGAGATCAGGTTAGTCTGACATGACTTATTTTCAGAAATCCATGCTGACTATTGGTGATCACAGCATTCCTTTCTAGGTGCTCACAGACTGTTTGCTTAATGATCTGCTCCAGAATCTTCCCTGGTATTGATGTCAGACTGACTGGGCGGTAATTATTTGGGTCCTCTCTTTTCCCCTTTTTGAAAATAGGGACAACAGTTGCCCTCCTCCAGTCTGCCGGGACTTCGCCTGTTCTCCAGGAATTCTCAAAGATGACTATCAGTGGTTCTGAGATCACATCTGCCAATTCTTTTAATACTCTTGGATGCAATTCATCTGGCCCTGGAGACTTGAATACATCTAAACTAGCCAAGTATTCTTGTACTATCTCCTTAGTTATTCTGGGCTGTGTTTCCTTTGCTGAATCATTTGCTTCAAATTCTTCAGGTCGGGCATTGTTTTCTTTATTGGAGAAGACTGAGGCAAAGAAGGCATTGAGGAGTTCAGCCCTTTCTGTGTCCCCTGTTTGCATTTCTCCATCTTCTCCTCTGAGTGACCCCACTGTTTCTTTGTTCTTCCTTTTGCTACGAACATACCCATAAAAGCCTTTTTTGTTGCTTTTAACCTCTCTAGCAAGCCTGAGTTCATTCTGTGCTTTAGCTTTTCTGACTTTGTGTCTACACGTGCTGGCTATTTGTTTGAATTCCTCTTTGGTGGTTTCCCCCTTTTCCATTTTTGTACACATCCTTTTTAATCTTAACTCAGTTAAAAGTTCTTTAGATAGCCACCCTGGCTTCTTTAGGCACCTTCCATGCTTCCGTCTCATTGGTATTGCCTGACGTTGTGCTTTTACTATCTCCCTCTTAACAAACTCCCAGCCGTCATGAACTCCCTTTCCTTTTAGTATTACTGTCCATGGGATCTCACCCAGCACTTCCCTAAGTTTTCTGAAGTCGGCTTTCTTAAAGTCAAGAAATTGAGTCCTAGTATGCTTGGCTGCTCCTTTCCGCTGTATAGTAAACTTCAGAAGAGCATGATCACTCGCTCCTAATGATCCTTCCACTTCTACCCCACTAACCAGGTCATCAACATTGGTTAGGACCAGATCTAAAATGGCTGTTCCTCTTGTTGCTTCTCCCACTTTCTGGACAATGAAGTTGTCTGCAAGGCCAGTGAGGAATCTGTTTGACCTTATGCTCTTGGCTGAGTTTGACATCCAACAAATATCCGGGTAACTGAAGTCCCCCATTACTACTATCTCCCTTCCTTTTGCATGCTTGGCCATCTGTTCCAGGAAGGCATCATCTATGTCCTCCGTTTGGCTTGGGGATCTATAGTAAACTCCCACAATGAGGTCACTGTTATTCTTCTCTCCCTTAATTTTGACCCAAATGCTCTCAGTTTGGCTTTGAGGTTCTAAATCTTGGATCTCTTCACAGGTATACACATCCCTGACATATAACGCCACTCCTCCTCCTTTCTTGTCTGGTCTGTTTCTCTGAAATAGATTGTATCCCCCCATTATTATTGAATTTATTGTGGAATAAACTGACATGGATTCAGGACTCCTCCAGACAACCTGTTTATTGAGCATTCATCTTTATTTGCTTCCACAAAGCTTATGCAGAGGTTAAACTATATTTTGCTTTTGTTCAGCATTTATTCTGATTTGTTTACTGGGTAGATGTACAACAATGAGCATTTATCCTGCATTCATTTTTGTGGGGTGTTTATTTGCCTTCCCGTTAATTGTTCATTCATTCCATACTTTCCCCATCAGTATTAACCACGAAAAGTCTGCTTCTTTTTAAAAGTGGATTTGTTGCACTAGGGCAACAGAACACTTTAATTGCTCAAACCTAAATTTATGGTATGTTCTTG